TTATGAATCAATAAAAATGTAAAAAAACAAAAAAACTAGTAGTCCCCAGAGAGAGCCCATCAAATTAGTACAGGCAGCTATCATGTCTTCCCTGATTTTTCACCATCTCCTTTCCTCCTGATACTTCTCAGGCTCTTAATGTCTTCCTTAGACTGTGGTACACACAATTGAGGTCTGATCAATTAAAATATGGTATGACTATCATCTCCCATATAGTAGACTCTAATTTCTATTAATGTATCCTAAAATTAGTACACTATAGCATACTTCCAAAAGTGCACTTCACAGCATTTGGGATTGTGCAGTTTCACAAAAATGGGCATAGGAGTGTATTTATATTTATTTATTTTTATTTGGATTTGTTGTACTTCCTTAATATGAGGCTTTACGTTTATAATAAATTCAGAGAAATTTTCATCATTATCTATTATCAGTAGATATAGATATATAGACGGAGATAGAGAGATATCTTAAAAGTAAATGAAGGAAACAGCCAGATCACCAACAAGGGAGTAAGAACCGAATTGCTAGATGAGTTCTCAGGAACAACAATGAAAGTTAGAAGACAGTGGAATAAAACGCTGGCAAAAAAAAAAAACAACACAACCAAACTCAATCTAGACCTCAATATAGATTTTTAAGTATCTTTCTAGAATAGAGAGTTAATAAAGAAATTTTCAGGTGACCAAAAACTGAGATTGAACCAGTGAGAAATTCTCACTAAAGTAATATCAGAAGCATATATTTCAGAAGGAAAATTATTCCAAAAGAGAGGTCTAAAATGCAAAAAAAATAAAGTTTTAAGAAACCAATATGGTAAACATCTGGGTAAATACAAAACAAACTTTAACTATATAACAAATATAATACAGTCTAACTTGTGGGATTAAAAAGAGAGAGAACTGAAAGAGAGAAAGAACAAAAATACTGAAAAATATTATATAAAACAGTAGAGTGATCATTTGAATCATTCTAACGTTCTAATGTTCCTGCATTACTCAGGAGAAGGATAAAGATTCTGAAAAACTTAAATTTTGCTGATTAAATACACATAATAATATACAGGGTAAGTACTATATATATGAAGACAGAAATAAAGTACGTAATTTCTAAAATAGTATCTGGAAAACATATTAGTGAAAAAAACTGAACTGTAAAACTGTACATCAGACTTCACTTTGAACTAGAGGTACAGGCTCTCTAATTCCCGCTATGTACCTCTGTGCTGTTTTGTCTTCCTACTGGTTCTATGCATTAGCTTCAAGTCATCCTCTCTGTTTTGGAACGCTCCATCCAATTGATGACACACAGTCCCTTCATTTCTATTACAGGGAATTCTGTCTCATCCTGTAAATGTTTCTAGACCTAAATCATAACTGTTCAGACTCCAGTTCAGAACTACAGTATTACTTTTTATTCAAATATTTATCAAATGCCAATATTTTCCAGTACCATCTCATATGGACAGTTGTACTAAGGGTAAAAGTACTGATTCAGACATCTCCTCAAGCAAGGATCCCAAACCACCACCAGCCTTGCTCAGTGACAAGGAAGGAGCTTAACCTGACTTGATAGATGTTAAAATGTCCAAGCTGGTAAGAGAAGGTGCAGGGTAACAAAATTGTACCTTTCTAGTGAATAAGTTCAGTTTACTGTGTATTAAGTAATCTAGGATTTATGCACTTTTAATAAAATTTCTAACAAAATGTTTCTATCTTCCTGGAAGTGTACACTTTTCTTTTAATTTGACTGTGATAGCCAGTTTAATGTTGTTTAGTGGACAGATTACTATTAGGAAAGATGCATTTTAAAAGCCTGGTACTTCTTTAATTTTAAACTACATTAAAATCTGTATCTTCCGTCTGAAGAAAAGACTAAGTCCTGATTTATTAAAGGATAGAAGAACAGAGGCAAAAACCCTCACAATCAATTATGTACACAGCCCACAAAAGACAGTAGGCTTACCCTGACGACACTTCCCTGGGCCCCAAGTCATCTCACTTACAATTTGAAGCCATCCTCTGCCAAAAAGCAGGTTTACTTGGCTCACCAAGGAATCGCAGATTCTTTTCAATGTGCTAGTTTTGGAATCTACAACATTTCCACAAAGGGAACCACCTGAAGTTTTGCGTCACCTGAGAATGGACTATAAATTTCTTTTAACCCCCTGTCCTCCAGGTTAGAAACTAAATAACAAACTAGAACATCACTTACACTCTCTTCTGGCTTCTCCAAGCTGCTCTCTGAGATACCTTCATAGGAGGTCACTCCTGGATATGGAACACTGAGACGAGCACCTAAGTAGAAAAGCAGAAACATGTATGAAGTCAGTCCCTGACGAAACTAGAATTCGTATCAGGAAATAAGAAACTGATTTCAAAGCTTCTTCTGTAAGTATCTGCATGCCTAGAAATTCCGTGCATTCTAACCTCAAGACACGTTTATTTAGAGCCTCCCCAGCACAAGAAATAAATATGACTCATTCAATAATTCAACAAGTATTAATTGATCCCTACTGTATGGCAGGCTTTAAGCAAGACACCAAGGACACAAAGTTCCTATCTTTAAGAGGCTATCGAGTAAAATGAACTCTCAGAGAGGAAGTGGGTGAAGGTTGGAATTGGCCATGAATTATAATTGTCGAAGCTGGGCCTCATTGTGCTATTTTTCTACATGTTTGAAATTTCCAATAAAGAAGACCTTCTTAAAAAAATTAAGAATAAACCAATTTATAGGAAATATAGAGGTCAAAGAAACATGTTAAAGTACACCACAAATGCAATCAGAAAAATCCTTACTCTGGAAAGCTTTACAAGACAAATGACAAATGGTGGAGCTAGAAAGGTTCTTCTACCTTTTGACATAAGCAGTGGTTATAGGGTTTTTGCCTATATAAGTCTTTACATTGTACATTTGTTCTAAGCAGTCTTCAGATTTGGATCATACTTAATAATTTAAGATTCTTAGAAACCTACATCATAGTGTCATAAAATAAGTAAAAAAAAGAATTACTTTTTCTAGAGGGGGAGGCATAAATTAGGAGTTTGGGATTAACAGATACACACTTCTATATATAAAATATGTAACCAATAAGGGCCTACTATATAACATAGGAAACTAAATTCATATCTTATAATAACCTATAATGGAAAAGAATCTGAAAAAAATAGTTTTGTGTGTGTGTGTGTGTATATGAATCTGAATCATTTTGCTGTACACCTGAAAGTAACATAACATTGTAAATCAACTATACTTCTTAAAAATAAAATTTTAAAAAAATAACTATTTCTTGAGACTCTTGAACAACACATGGAGAAAGAAACATACTATTTTTTAAATGTGAACTGAAAAATGTGCTCACTTGCAATTAAGTAATAAACAATTTAAAAATTGCATTAAGGCACAAAAGCATACCTCCCAATGTTGAGCTATCACCAACAGGAACTGGAGATGACAGTTCGGGGCTAGGAAAAAAAATGTTTGGCGTTAACAAGGCGATAAAATGTGAGAGTTTATTTGGGGGGTTGTTTTCCAAAAAGGAATTAACTAGATCTCCAAACAAGGATTATCAAACCAAAGCACTGAGCAGCAAATTTAAAAACTAGTAATAATAGTTTTTACATTCATTTACTTTTACATTTTTGATGCCTACTCAACTAGAGTCACCCTACATAAAGTAATCCCTTAGTTAAAATTTCATAACCCTGTTTCGTTTCTTCTCAGTTCTTATCACTATGTGAAATTATTCTGTTCATTTATCTACTTCTTTATCTCTGTCCCCTGCCCCCTTAACTGTCTAGAATGGCATTGTCCAACATGACAGTCAGTGGACATATGTGACAATTTAATTTAATATTAAATGAAGTTTAAAATTCAGAACCTCATCCACACTAGCCACACTTCAAGTATTCAACACATATGGCTAATGGCTACTTTATCACACAGCCCAGTAACGAACATGTCCATCATCACAGAAAGTTCTACTGAACAGGACTGCTTCAAGAATCTAAACTCCATGAGATTAGGGACCTTACCTGCTGTATTCTTGCCATATCTCCATCCTAAATCAGAATCAGTGCCGCCATTTAGTAGGCACTGAATAGATATTTTTGGCATAAATAAGTAAATACTATTGGCCAACCAGTGTAGTGTAGAAGGCACTTGGCATATAGCTGTGAATGAAACACCCATGGTCTATGAAGGTTACAGTCTTATAGAAAACAGACAACAAATAAATGATTACAAATTCAACAAGTAGTACAGACACGAAAGTACTGGCTGCTAAGGGAAGCACGTAAGCCCAAATCTCATCTCATTTGAGAGATCACAGAAATCAGAAAAAAAATTTAATATAAAAAAGTCAAGCTTAGAGAACTGATTTGCTGTAGGCCATACTGCTAACAGGTGTCAGGTCCCCCAGCCATGCTTTTACCACGCCAGCCTGCGACTGCAAGCAAAGATCAGAAGAGATCAGAGGATAATCTGAGAAAGCCCCTGCTCTAAAGAAAAGAAAGTGGTTTTCTGCAAGTCCAAATTTCCACATACCCCAAAATATTTAATTTAAATTATAATAATTGAATACTCTCTCTGACTTTACACAAGTGAGCTTTAAAAGTGATTTAATCACAGTCAAAATGTCTCCTCAGACTTGCCAGTGCCGCAGTAGGTCCCACTCAGATTTAGATTGCTGCTGTAAACTAGATCAGGGGGCTGGGAAGGCAGACTCAAAGCCACCAGATAAACATGGCACACATCTTGAACCATCAATTTTTTACTTGAAGCATAGACAAGTAGAGAGCTAAGTAAGAACTGATAGGAAATTTAAAACATTCTAATTAAAACAAATGTAGCTATATATTATAGAGTAGACTATAAAGTTTAAATGAATATTAAGATACAATATGATAATTCAAAAACATTTTATGACTGAAACTGGAGTCAGGGAGTTAACTAGGGCCATGCTCCCTAAACCCCCAGGCTTTGGCAGAAAATTTGAGAAACATAGGTTAAAAAAAAATCTCACCATAAAGATTCTTCTGGTTTAAAAAAATACTCTCTAAGAAAGAGTAACGTATTAGACCAGTACACCAAATCCATCACTACTGGTTATTTATAGTGCACCTGCAGGAAATTGCTTACTGAGTGAGCTGTCATCCAAAAGAACCAAAAGGAATATAACATTTGGATAAGTCATTATGATGAATGATGAGTAACGGGTGATGAGAAAAGCTTCTTGGGTTGCAGGAGATGGAGCTTAAAAAATGGGATTTTAGATGCATTTGGAACAGACATTGACACAATAAGGCTTGAATAGGGTTTATTAATTGCCTACAAGGCAGAACCCCTTCCCAGTATCTTCATTTTATAGATGAAAAATTGAGGTCCAAATGGGCAAAGCAATTTTCCCAGGGTCACACAATGACTTGATATGGCCAAGCCACACCTAAAGTTCCCAATCATATCCAGTTCCCTTTTCAATAATAATAACAGCAAGTGGGGAAGGGTATAGCTCAGTGGTAGAGCACATGCTTAGCATGCACACGGTCCTGGGTTCAATCCCCAGTACAACCATTAAAGTAAGTAAACCTAATTACCTCCCCCCAAAAATAAATAAATAAAAATAATTTTAAAATAGTAATAATAGCAAAAATGATTACAACTAAATTTATCATTTGCCAAGCACTGTGCTAAGTGCTTTATCTTGGTTAACTCAATTCTGGCATCAATCTTCAGAGAAAAACTCTATTACCACGATTTAGACATATGAGGAAACTAATGCTAGGAGAGATTAAGAATTTGCTCAGGGTCACAGAGCTAGCCAACGAAGGAGCTGTGATGTAAAATAGGACCATCTGATTCTAGAAACCTCACTCTTTTCCACCTCAATTCTAGACAACATGGTCTTTATATGATCCATTCTCTCTAGAAGAGCAACCAAGATGGTTTTACTTAGTCTTAATTATAGTGATCTTATTATATAAATGACCTAAAAATCAAAGTATATGAGGACCCAGAAAGAAAGAGGAAGGGAAACCCAGTCAAAGTTGGAGAGCTCTAAAGAACAATCGGATAAGAAGAGCAAAGAAGTTCAACTAAGACAAAGCACAATACAGTCACTAGAACAGCAAAGTGGGACGACATGGCAGAAAAACCAGACCTCACCTGGGGTTGGTCAAATCGTTCCCCACATCCAAATCGAATTGAAGCTAATTCTCTAAGTAAGCATTCAGAATGGAGAAAGTTTGTTTACTTCAGCAGAACAAGATTTCACTTAGGGAATTCAAAATAACATTACTTTAATGATGGTAAGTAGGCAACTCTCAGTAACTCAAGTCATTTGTCTAACACTCCACCACTGAATCCCCTCATCCTCTCACACTCCTTTCAAAAGACAATAAAGAACACTTAACAACAAGAACCCTTTCACATGCTCTCATTAGGCACGCCTCCTGCAGAGAGCTAGAACAGAGTCACTCACAACAGAGCTAGAACAGAGTCGCTTTGAGTCTGGAGACAGCAATACTTCATTTCTAGGCCAAACTACAAATTTGGAAGTTGGTCAGCTAAGACTTTTAGTTTAATCCCAGCAGCAAACCACCCCCTACTATCTTATTTCCTCAGCTTATCCAGCACATAATTTACTCCTCACAGCTACTACCTAATCATGTCAGTGGAATTCAGATGGAATTGTGTCAGAAGATATCACAGCCCCATGGAATATATGGCTAAAAATATAGTGAAACAAGCCAGCAATAATTTCAAAACTAGATTACTACTGCCCTTTACAATTTTCTATACTTTACTTTGCTCTAGAATCTATTGACTGTAATCAGCATGTGACCAAAAAAGAACTCCAGGCAAGGAGTTAGGAATCCTGGGTGCTAGTCCCAGCTGTATCACTAACTTTGCGTTTAACTTGAAAAAATATCTCAGTTGCTCTGGGCCTCAAGAACTAATCTCTAAAACAGGAACACCTCCTACCCTGCTTACTTCACAAAGATGTTGATGAAAACTAAGTAAAATATTATATGCAGAAGCATTATGAAAAGTAGGAAATGCAAAACAAACATAAAAGAAAATAGGGGTTAGTGGCACACATGTCCTCCCAAACAGAATAAAATATATGCTGAAAAAAGATTTGTATTTGTCTTTGTGATCATGATAGGCATCCTTATCTATAAATCTAAGTTAACTGAGATACCAGGAAAAAAATTCCAAAGTTCCATCCTTACATTGAGAATAGCACCAGGGTCCTGACAATAGACTTGGGTGATTGAACAGAAACTCAGGTATTCATTTAACAAACACTTAGGCGCACATATCCTAGACTGGGCTCTGTGCTGGTTATTGAAGATACAACAGTACGATGAGATGGCAGGGAGTTAAGCAGTGACTGGACCTAAATGGAGATGCTTTCAAGATGTCTGGCTGTGATGGAGAAAAGCCATATTTATTATAGCTTGTATGTGCTTCTTAACCATACAGGATGTGTAAAGGTGTGCTATCATTTTTATTAGGTACAACCATGAAGATTACTGGCACTGGCAGGACCCGCCAGATTATTTAGTGCACTGCCTGTGTGTTGCAATGGCAATCACAAGGAAACTTCGAGCTCTGCCTCTCAGTGGTGAACCCACACCTGAAACACCACATGGCCCCACATCTAAATAGGTGCTCAATCCCAGGCCCCAGCATAGACTCGGTGGTATCATCAGCTGTATGAAGTGAGACCACAAAGAGTCCCACTTCCCTCCTGTTTACTCAGTTTGATTTGAAACTTACACACACCCCACTACCACCCACATGTGTACTCTATCTTTTGCCTGGACTTTGCTCTCCAGGCTGGATCTCTGAACACTGACTCACCTAGCTGGTTTTTCAATCTGTCCTTCCATCTAACTTGAGGCAAAATTCAAGACTCTGATCTGAATTGCATGCCCTGGTGGTGCTTTTCAAAATAATCACCCACATGCTAGCATAATCTAGATCTTGACAGTGTGGACAGAATTGGAAATCCTTAGTCCCTGCAGGCTCGAAATCCCTCAGCCTCCATGATCTGCTTTCTGCTCAGGAGCCAGAAATGACCTTAATCTTAAGCCTAAAAACCAACAGAGCCAAGACTCATAACAGCGGAGGATTCATCAAGGTTGTGCTATTCCTATGTTTCAAGATCATAATCATCATTACATAATAAAGTGACTCATATCACCACCCATCATTTAATAAAATATCTTCCACTAAGGTATACCATTTTAGATCAATATTATCATTAGCCTGTAAGTCTCAACAACAGTAGACCATTTCATATTCCATTTCCAAAAATCTGTTTTCTCACCCAAGAGAAAAGAACAAGTCTGCCTCCTGGTAAGTTCAGACAGTAAACAAGCATAGTGGTTGTGGAAATGGTCTGGAAAGGGAAATGGCCTCAAGGGGAGGAAAAGCATTTGAGACTTACCCGCAGGCCAGGTCATTGCAGGAACTGGCGAAAAAATAGGAAGGAATCATTAAATTTGGGGTGAGTCTTGGAGTAGGTATAATACCTCTCTGTTGCCAAACATGAACTTAGGGAAAAAAGACACTCACCCGCTGACGGTTTCCTCTGCATACGTCAGTTTCTAAGGAAAACAAAGATACAAAAATGACCATGTGAGTTAATGACAGTTATTAAGCAGTAAAAAAACTCACTGCACAGAGAACACTAATGCCCTAACATGGAATCTATGTTATTATTCTTTATGGTGAGACAAATAGTTAAAGGAAGGTACTAATGACGCGAGGTTTGTTTTGTGGCTGACAAGGTCCCAACACTCTCTCTGTGTGCTCCCAAAAGTTCCTGTGCTCTCTCTTAATGGGCACAATTTAAAGAACTTTTCCCACTAATCATTCCAAAAAGGTCTACAAAGTTAAAGATTGGGAGGGTTTCACATTAACCTTCCACGGACTTAGAACCAAAGTGTTTTGTGATTTAACAAATCTACAGAAACTCTCATCATAGAATAATATAATCATGTGGATGAAATAACTATTAAATCTGATTCTCCAGAATTCAAACAAAAAATAAATTATATCAATAATTGGATTATTCCTTTGGGGCATTACAAAGCACATTATCTCCAAGTTTCCTCTAAATTACTGGTTTTATTAAGTAATTTATACTTAATTACTTAATTACAGTGTGGAATTAGAAGACCTAGTTTCAAATCCCTTTTCTTTGCTATGGAGACAAATTCCAAAATCTCTCTGGTGCTGGGACTAAACTTCCTCATCTGTAAAATGGAGAGACTATTAATCTATATAACTCTGAAGATATTTATAAATAACTCATTGCTCTTCTTACTCCACAGACTTTCCTAGAATAATCTCAGCCACTCTTATGATTTCAATTACTACCCCGAGGCTGGTGATTCCTATAGCTATATTTATAACCCAGACTGCTCTTCTTTGCTTCATACCTAAATATCAAGCAATTCACACTTCACAGATGGCTCAAAACAATGCATTAAAAAGCAAACTCATTCTGCCCCTCAGCAGATATGAGCTGCTTCTCTGCCTGAGTTCTCGGCGATAGTCATCTAGCTAGAAACCTTCCCAGGCCATTGCTTCCTCCTATCTCACCCCCATCCAATCCATCAGAGTCCTACTAATTTTTTTTCCTGCTTATAGCCCTCCTACTCCCTTTCTCTATCTCATGGCCTAGTTAGGACCCTCATCCCCTCAGGCCTCAAGTAGTGACTGGTCTCTCTACTTAAGTCTTGTCCCCTCTAATCTATCATATGGTGTATAAAAACCATATAACTGTTTCACAATTCAAAACTGTCCAATCAGCCCCAGTGACTCACCCATCTACAACCTTTCAATGGTTTCCTATCAACTACAGAGTTAAATCCAAACTTGTTCAGTTACTCACCTTCCTAGCCTGATCTCCTGTCAATTTTAGTCTACACTTCTGGCATATTGGCCCATATATACATGTACAACTAATAATAATAAATAAGAAGTACAACATTAAAGAAAGAATAAAGAATTATGGAGTTCAAAGAATTATGGGAGCTAAATCTTCTAGGCTAGGGGTTGATTCCTCACAAAGGAGGTCACATCTGAGATGAGGACATGCAGGACTTGAACAAAAGGAATAAGGATGCTGGGACCTATCACACAGCATGAGCAACCTACTACATGTATCTAAACAGTTTCATGCTCTTGTCACAAATACACGCATGCTACATGAAAAGGGGAGGGTGGGCAAGTAATTTGTCTATAAGCATGCTTATTTATCCTTTGCTAAGAATAAACCAAATGAAAAACAAGGAAGCAAATTCATTAATTAGAATCATACTTATACTTTACCAAACATTTATTCAAAACCCTATATTCTCTATCTTAATGTGAGTCATTGGTACTGCTCTGAATTGATAATGTGCAAAACTCTGGCAAGAATGTTTGCCACAGATTTATATTCTTGGCCTAAATCTTTGCTGAGTATTATTTCCAAATATTTACATTTTTAAATAAGCCTGAGGCTCTTCTTGGGTTAACAATGCTTATTATTATTTGACTCCCTATTTTTTTAATTTAAGTATATTTGACTTATGGCATTGTATTAGTTTCAACTGTAGAACAAAGTGATTCAGTTATACATATATGTGACACCTATACCTGTACATATATATACATTCTTTTTTCTGATTTTTTTCCATTATAGTTTATTCCAAGATACTGAATATAGTTCTCTGTGCTATTCATTAAAACCTTGATATTTATCTATTTTATATATGTTAGTGTGCATCTGTTAAGCCAACACTCCTAATCTGGCAATGCTTATTATAATGGCCAGAGTTAGGCATTAAAAGACTGGCTGCCCTATGGCAGGCAGGCCACTTGACTAGCCTGATTCAACAAAAAAGAGTAATGCAGGGATTTGACAGTTGTTCCTTCTTCCTTTAGGCCTGAGCTGTGTATACATGCTCCTGTGATAGTCCAGCAACTTCTTCCCTTGTTACTACATTTACCTTCATAATTAAGCTTCTATGTTCCACAGACTGACTAAAATGTGTGCCCATTTCAAATATAGTTGTGATTCCATCCTCACACAAATTCATCCAGTAATGATACTCCTCACGTGCAGGAAGTCGATCCCAAAAAGTTCTGAAGGCTTCCCAGACAGCTTCCTGACATACTGAAAAACAAACAGAGAGGTGTTTTTATGGAAAGCACTTTGGGGTTCTCACAATGATCACGGGACTGTTTATTCACATTCCCAAGACATGGCCGCCCACAACGTCTCTTGTGGAGAGGCATGGGAATGACTCTCGGTCAAAGCCCTTCTGTGTGCCCTGTTTAAAGTTTTCAGAGCTGAAGAGAATGTGTACTCCCCACTCCTTCTCCTTGCAAAAAGGAACTGATTCACCTCCTAATAGACTGGGGTTTTTTTCCCCATCTCTAAAAAAAAAAATCCATGCTTACAGTTTACAAAAGTAGAGCTGATATTGAGTATACTTCAACAGGTAAGTAACTAACCTGTGGTAGGTACATCAATAAGATGGAATTATTATTCAGTGATAAAAAGAAATGAGGTTTCAAGCCATGAAAGGACATGGAGAAGATTTAAATGCATAATGCTAAGCAAAAGAAGCCAATCTGAAAAAGTCACATCACTCTATGGTTCCAACAATATGACATCTGGAAAAAGCAAAACTATGTAAATTATAAAAAGATCAGTGGTTGCCAGGGACTGGGGAGAGAGAAAGATAAAGGAGGTGGAAAGCAATGGATTTTAGGGCAGTGAAACTATTCTGTATGAAACTATTTAATAGTGGGCACATATCATCGTATGTTTGTCAAAACCCATAGAACATAGAACACAATGAGTGAATTTTTGTAAATTATGAGCACTAGTTAAGAATAATGTGTCAATATTGGCTCATTAATTGTAACAAATACACTAACACAAGATGTTATTAAGAGGGATGTGTGTATGGAATAGTGGCAGTATATGTAATTCTCAGGGTTTTCTGCTCTATTTTTCTGTAAACCTAAAACTTCTCCAAAAAAAAACTATTAATTTTTAAAAAGATATGAGAACTAAAAAAAAGAAAGAGAAAAAGGAAAAAGAAAATGATATTCATTAGAAATGTACTACGGTATTAAAATAAAAGCTAATTTAATCTATTTGCTAAGTTATTCCAAAGCACCAAATCCTAAGGAACATTAAACAAGCTGTCTGCATGTTTTGTAGAACACTAAGTATATTGCTATCCTGTAACCATTAAAGTGGGCAGATGCAGGGCACTGCAGGTAACAGACTGGGATGGGAGAGAAGAGGAGGAAGGTGGTGAGGGAGAAAGAAGGATTTAAATGGACAGAGATCAAGGAAATTATTTTTCATCTCAGGAGGACTGAATGCTTATTCAGCACCATATTGAGGTGGAGTCCCTGAACTCAAAGAGTGAGAAGGATCTAAATTCTAGCCCTAGCCTCACTGTGTCCTAGCTTGGTAACTGCAGGTAACTTACTTTACCTAGCCACTCAACACTTCAATGTACTCATCTCTCTCTTTTAAAGAGATGAATAATAACTGCGTTACTTACCTTATCTGTGAAAGCACTTTATAAACTACATAGTGCTACATAAATATCACATGTTATTATTGTATTGGATTCTGGTTGTCCAAAGGTTATCTGATGTAGGTCTCGGCCTAAAAACAACTCTTAAGCTTTAACAGAGAGTGAAATAAATGAGTATTGAAAGTTTCTCTACCAATTGATTTTTCAGGTTATTCTGAACTCTTGGTTGCAAACTTTGTTTCTATTTCAGTGAACTAACTGCATCCTTGCTACTGCTCTTTAGAACTTTTGATCTTCTGTAGCGGAAGAGTTCAGCAGGCACTAACTGAAGCAGAGTTAACCACTTGTATAATCTTTCTTTCTTTCCTTATTCCCCTTAAAACTTTCAAATAAAAGTTTAGTATACACTAGAGGACAATGCAAAGGTGAAAGTCTGGGTTGGTAAAGAACAAAAAGCAAATGTCTATAAGGTCTGGTTATGAAATGAGGCGATTGAAAGAAAGCACTAAAAATATTGTGAGGTCAAATAACCATATATCTATAAGAATAATAAATTTCAAAAACTTCTTCACCATATCCATAAAAACTACTTTGAAATATAACAACTAATACTACAAAGGTCCTAAAAGAAAACACATTAAGAGTATCTACATAACTTGAGGATAGGCAAAGATTTCATAGACAGGATACAGAAAGCAACAAGTGTAAAAGAAAAAAACTGAAATCAAAATTCATCAAAACTAAACACTTCTGCTCAACAATGACAGTATTAATAAAAATGAATAGGCAAGACATACCTCTGACAGAAAATATTTAAATTACATATCTCTGACAAAGAACTGGTTTTTAGAATATTTAAAGAACTTCTACAGCTCCCTAACAAAAAGGCAAACAATCTAATTTTTAAAACATGTAAAAGACTGGAACAGATACTTTACAAAGGAAGAGATACAAATAGTCAATGAATATGTGAAGACGTGCTATCATTCATTCTTTAGAGAAATGCAAATTAAACCATCCACATATGAACCAGAATGGCTAAACTTTTTTACATGGATAATACCAAATTTTGGCAAGAATGTGGAGCAACCACAATCCTCATTTTTGGCAAGAATGTAAAACAGGGCAACCACTTTGGGAAAAGTACTGGTATTTTCTTATATAACCAAATATACACCAAGCCTATGACCCATCAATTCCCTTCCTAGGTACTCCTTCAAGCTAGAAGTAAGCATATAACCACAGAAAGACTTACGTTCAATGCCAGGGCAGCTTCATTCAGGGTAACTTAGAAAAGAAAACAACCCAGGTATCCATCAACAGGAATATAAGCAAACATATGGCCACATAATAGAATCAAAAGGAACAAATTACTAATTCATGCAACAACATGAATGAAACTCAAAAAAGGCTGAGTGAAAGAAGCCTTATATAAAAGAGTTCATACTATTCCATTTATATAAAATCCAAGATAGGTGAAACTAACTTATGGTTTAAAAAAATTAGAAGACTGGTTGCCTGATAGTTGAGGGTAAGAGGGGAGGAGTGTCTTGCAAGGGGAAAAAGGGAACTTTCTGGGGTGGTACTTCACCCAAATTTAAGAGACATATGGGTTACACTAGTGTGTGCATTAGTCAAAACTCACCAAATAGTACACTTAAGATTTATGCATTTCACTCTATGTAAATTTCACCTTTAAAACAGTAAACAAATATTAAGCTCTAGTTAATGATCTTCATGTTCAAGTGTCTAATGGGGAAATGTACTGATGTCTTTAATTTATGAAAATATAACTAAAAAATAGGATGGTTGGATAGACAGATATATGATAAAGCAAATATAAAATGTTAATTGTAGCACCAGGTTGTAAGACTATGGTGTTCACTATACTATTCTTTCAACTACTCTGTATGTTTCAAATTTTTCATAAAGTCTTGGAAAAACTTTGTGTGCGGAAAATGTAGTTGGAGTATACAGAAGTGTAGAAATCACACCAGGTTTCACAGCAGGCCTTCTCTTGGCCTCTGTCATGAACTTACAGAAGAACAGCATAAGCTGTCTCCTCTAAACTACGCGTCCTCATCTCCTAAAAAAACCCCCCGAGAAATCTACTTATAAACTAATAAAATTAATAAACAAGTTCAGCAAGGTTGCAAGATACATGAGCAATATATTAAAAAATCACATATACATATTGCCTAAGCAACCACTAATCTACTTTGTTTCTTAACCAAAACCGTATAAAAAGATGCTCAACATTATTGGTCATTAGAGAAATGCAAATCAAAACCACAAAATACCACTTCACAGCTATTACGATGGTTGTAATTTTTTTAAGAAAATTATAATGCTGGCAAAAATGTGGAGAAATCAGAATCTTCATACACTGCTGGTGGGAATGGTGCAGCTACTTTGGAAAACAATCTGGCAGTCCCTCATATGGTTAAACGTATGACCCAGAAATTCTACTCCTAGTTAAAACAACCAATAGAAATGAAAACAACTCAAATGCCCATCAGCTGGTGAATGGATAAACTAAATGGGTATATCCATACAACAGAATATTATTATTTGGCCACAAAAAAGAATAAACTACTGATACATGCTACAAACTGGATGACCCTTGAAAACATTATGCCAAGTAAATGAAGCCAGTCACAAAAGACCACATACTGTATTATCTCATTTATATGACATATCCAGAATAGGCAATTCTACAGAAAAAGAAAGTAGATTAGTGGTTGCTTAGGCCTGGGGAGAGGGGAAGGGAAAGAAGAGTGACAAGAAAGTGATAGCTAGAGGGTGAGGGGTTTATTTTTGAGTTGCTGAAATGTTCCTAAATTAAGTGTGGTGACTGTTGCTTGTTTCTATGAATATATTAGAAAACCATTGAATTCTATACTTTAATGGGCTAATGGTAAGGTATGTGAATTACACCTCAATGAAACTGTAAAAAAATGCAGTTCCCACCAGAGAGGTAATATAGTTGACTTTTGAATAATACAGGGGTTAGGAGCACTGACCCTCCACACAGTCAATTTATATATAACTTGACAGTCAAATCTCCTTATCCATGATTCTATCTACATCCATAGATTCAACCAACCCTGGATCATATAATACTATAGTACATATTTACTGAAAAAAATCCAAGTATAAGTGGATCCTCACAGCTCAAACCTGTGTTTTTCCAGGGTCCACTACACATCCTTAATTTATCTAATCGTTTTCCAATTCAGAGCTATCTGACAAGAAGGTCCAATTAACTAATGTGGGATAATAGAATTCAGAACACTTATATTCTGATAGAGGAAGAGAACTAGGGGAAGTCTGGAGCACTCATGCAGTTCAGAGAGGGGAAACCTAAATAGGACAGTGCAGGCAATAAAGAGAAGAGCAAAATCAGTATGATTCCAAGGGAAGAGGTACTAAGGAAGGCAAAACTCCACCTTCAGGAGAAACAGACAAATGTCACATACTTCACTATTTGGTCTGTTTGTTCAGAAGTCCTATCCTTGTCAAATAATTTTCATGTACTTAAGTTACTGCTGGAGATAACTAATCTACAAATGCCTCTCTTCTGGCAAAGAAAACTGGCCCTGGAAACCAGTGGAGGTAAATGTGATGACAATATTCTTTAGAAGGAAATGCCAGCATTTAATCTGTCTTTAATCCTGTTACTAGGGCTCAGGCTGTGCATCTTTATCTAGTACATAGAAATCTAGAATGAAGCAAAGTACTTTTCCAGGATAATATAGTTTCCTTTCAGAACTGTGGAGCCCAAAGTCAATTTGGTGCAATAAGGCAAGAAAAAGAAATAAAAGACATACAGGTTGGAAGGTAAGAATTAAAACTCTATCTTTATTTGTAGATGAAGTAATCACCTACGTAGAAAACCCTAAGAAATATATGAAAAAGCAACTAGAACTAATAAGTGAGGTTAACAAAGTTACAGAATAAAAGATCAATATACAAAAATCAGTTTTATGTCTATATACTAGCAAGGAACAATCAGAAACCTAATTTTAAAAAATACTGCTAACAATAGCAAGAAAAAGGTGAAATAAACCTGATAAAAAGATGTGTAAGACCTACACACTAAAAATTATAAAACACTGGTGAGAGAAACTGACAAAGATCTAAATAAATGGAGATACATATCCATAAATCAGAAGACTCAATATTGTTAAGATGATCATTCTTCCCAAATTGATCAGTAGATTCAACACAATCCCAGTCAAAATCCCAGTAGCCTTGTTTGTACAAATTGGAAAGCTGATTATAATATTTCTATGGAAGACAAAGAACCTAGCATAACCAAACAAATTCAAAACAGAAGAAAAAAGTTGAAGAACTTACTTACACTACCTAATTCAAAGACTTATTATAAAGCTTACAGTAATCAAGACAATATGGCATTGGCATAAAAATAGACAAATAGATCAGTGTAAGAAAATGAAGTGTGAAGAAATAGACCCAGCATATACAGAAGACTGATTTTCAACAAAGGTACAAAGGTAAAAAAAAAGATAATCTTTTTAATAAATGATGCTAGAACAATTGGCTATGCATATGCAAAAAAAATTTAACTTAGATCCATATACACCATATGCAAAAATTAACTAAAGTAAAATTAACTAAGGTAACTATAGACATGAATGTAAACCTAAAAACTATAAAAATTTCCATAGGAAAAAACAGGTGAAAATCTTTGTGACTCTGAGCTAGGCAAATTTAGATCCAACACCAAAAGCAAGCATGATGAAAAGAACCCTAATAAACTGGACTTCATCAAAATTTAAAACTTTTGTTCCCCAAAAGACATTGTTAAGAAAATAAAAAGACAAACAACACATTGGAAGAACATGTATGCAAAACACATATCTGACAAAGAACTTGTATTTGGAATACGTAAAGAACACTTACAACTCAATAATTAGATGAATAGTTATTTTTTAAGTGAGTAAAATATTTGAATAGACTCTTTACCAAAAAAGATATACAAATGGCAAATGAGTACATAAAAGTGCTCAACATCATTAGCCACCAAGAAAATGCAAGTTAAAACCACAATAAGATATCATTTCATATCTACTAGAATGCTTACAGTTAAAAAAGACTGACTATACCAAGTATTGCATAGATGTGGAGAAACTGGAATCACAACATATTGCTGGTGGTACAAATACAATGGAAAACAGTTTGGCAATTTCTTAAAAAGTTAAACATAGGGTTATCATGTGACCCAGCCATTCCACTCCTATTAACCAACAGAAATTAAACCATACATTCACACAAAAACTTGTACACAAATGTTCATGACAGCTTTCTTTGTAATCACCTGTAACTGAAAACCTCAAATATCCCAAAATGCAGTATATCCATAAAATGAAATAATACCCAATAATAAAGAATACAAACTATTGACACACAAAAAAATGGATGGATCTCAGAACAATTAAACCAAGTAAGAGAAGTCAGACAAAAAAGAACACATAGTATGATTACATTCATATGTAAAAGTGTAGAAAATGCAAACAATACATAGTAACAGAAAGTAGATTAGTCATCGCCTCGGTACTGGGGTCAAGGGAAGTGCTGAGGGAAGGAAGGTTACAAAGGCACATGAGAAAATGGAGATAAATGGTAACTTCACTATCTTAATTGTAGTAATAATTTCAAGGATAAACACCTTTGTCAAACTAATCAAATTATATACTTCAAATATGTGCAGTTTATAATCCACCAAAGTATACCTTAATAAAGCTATATTTTAAAAGTCCAACTACAAATATACTTTTAAAGGAAGGTTCTATTAATTACATCCTACTCTAAGCAGACTAAATATGTTTAATTTTACAAATCATTAGATTAAATGCAGTTATTTCTTGCTTAAATGGAGCTATTTTTCAAATTTGTTATTTTAACTAGCAACAGATACCAAATTATCTATGAAAGCAAAACTAGGCAAACCATGAATGAATGAAGTTGATGGAAAGAGCAAAGATCCTTGGTTGGACTCCCTCCAATCTCCAGACAGTTGGTTCTAAGGGCATAAGCCAATTTCTCTTCAAAATCAGGACATATGTGGAAATATTCATTTTTCCCACTTTTCAAAAACATATCAAATAAAATACTTACTCTTTAAACATAACAGTAATAGCTAAATCAACATTGTTAAAATCTTGATGCGCTGTGCCAACCGTTTTAGCTTTATGAGGTCCCTTTCCAATCATCTCATTCATAGGACCTGTATTTTAAAGTCAGTTACTGTAGGAATGCTTTATTTTTCTTTTTGTTGGCTTCTTTTTCAATAGTATCTCTTGAATTTATAAACACAAGGGAGCTCCAGTTGCACAATCGGTTAGCGTGTGGTACTTATTTATAAACACAAGGGCAAAGCAATTAAAAGGCATAATCGTACTCCTTAAATGATTGGTTATTTCCTCTTCATTATTTAACCAGCAGCTATCTAGATATTCTAATCTATTCTAAAATAACATTAAGTAAAAATCCAGGTAGTAGAAATATTTTGATAAACTACAAATTGTCATTCTCATTCCTCTTCAGTTCCTTTATTTTCTTCCCACTCTCCTTGGAATTTGCCACTTCTGGCATATGCTCTATACATAAAAGGCCATGTCAATGGGTTTCCATTTAAAAAGTATAAGAAAAGTTTACTGCTTAGTAAGTTTGATAGCCCCAAAATACAACCAAGAGATATAAATACACTCCAAATATAAATACACTTCTAATATATAGTGTCACTTTTAAAAGTCAAATATATAAATATATGTAATAGCTGACATTAATTTTTTTTATTTTAAAACCACTTGCTTTGGTGAGGGAGAAGGACAGAAAGGACAAGCTGGAGGAAAATAAAGAAGACAGAGTAGCAGCTCAGATTGAGGGTAACTGATTAATAACATTAGTTGAACAGATGCATGAATGAACAAGCCTGATTTCACTATCATTTCATCATCTGTATCGACTTTAGTTTACTAGTATCACATCCATATTATGGCTTTTTAATTTTTTAAATATTTTATTTCTTAGTATATTATTTAATTATTTTTTATTTTGGCGGTGGGGGGAGATAATTAAGTTTATTTTTGGAGGAGGTACTGGAGATTGAACCCAGGACCTTGTGCATGCTAAGCATACACTCTGTCACTTGAGCTATAACCTCCCCCCCATATTATGGCTTTTTATTGGCTCTTGAGCAGCAAAAAGCAAAGTTTGGGAATCCTTCAAACATTTAAGGGACATATTATGATCAATTAAGCAATTCTGGTTAGTAAATATAAGGAAAAGAGAATGAATTAACATAATAAAAAGGTACGCGATCAAGGATAACACTGTTTAATTAGAAATAAAATAAAATCTTAGTTCTGTTGCTTCATGGTCTATTGTGAGAAGTGCCACCATTTTAGATGTAAAAAGTTTTGTGTGCACCAACTTGAGAGTAATCGGCATGAATTTACAGAATGGAGAAACTATAAAATATAGAAACTGATCATATTTTCATGTATGTAAAATAGCTAGTCAAATAGGTAAGTATATCTCAGTAAACATATTTTGTGGGTATATTTAGGAAAATTACCATAATGTAGAAGTTAAGATTATAATTAATTTATCCAGTATCATAAATTAGTATTTTTGAAGTGCTTCAAAGATATAAACCATTTACTCTCTTAAAATAATGTAAATTTTCCTCTGAAGCTATATAAATACCATACTTTTAGCAAGTCCTTTATCCATGGCTGGTAGAAAGATAATATTTGGCTCAGTCTCTGTCCAAAGTATCACAAATTTTGAATTATAATGAGATACAATTGTGTTAGAACTATGTTTGAATTTCACCATGGAGCCCAAGGGTTTGGATGTTTGCTTACCTCGTACTTTAAAATATTTCACATGGTTTGCCACAGCCTCAGTAACACTTTCTTCTGGGCACGTTTTCACACCATTAGGAAACAGAGTAGATCGCCTTCTTCTGAGCAACCACTGTCTCTCAGTTTCCCTGTGATCCAGAGGTTGTTTCTTTTCGGAAGGTAAAGAAGAGTCTGTGGATTCTGAGTCCGTCAGGAGAAAAGAAACTGCACTCTTGGGTTCTTGAATCTCTTCTAAAGGTAAGTATGTTTGCGCTACAGAGTGAAAGCATAAATAAAGCCTCTGATGACAGAAGAAGATACAGTACGAAAGGTAACAAAGAAAAACTGACATCTGTGCCACGTTTAGATTTTGAACTCAATGCTCAAATTATAAACATGTGTGCCTGAGGAGGGGTGGACTGAAGCATTTAATCTTTTCTCCATTTAATTCCTACTCCTTTACTTCAAGACTATTATTTACTGAAATCAAGTATACATACAATTTCAACATATGAAATAAGAGGAAGGAAGGTTTGAAATAGGAATTACTAATGAAGAAGAAAACCAAAATTACTGGAGAGATTATAATTTTTTTAATGGAGGTACTGGGTATTGAACCGACAGGAGAAATTTTAAAAGTTTAAACAAAGCAATATCAAAGACTACTAGAGTAATAGTTGATTAAATTTCTTACAGCAGTGATATCAAATAATGTTATTTTTAGAGAGAATATACTACAGATATAAAGAAAGATAAAATAATGTAGATTTTTAAATACCTGTTAATGATGGAAGGTTTCCTTCTATCAGGACAAATATCAAAATACCCAGATAAATCTTCTCAAAATGAGGAAACATAATCATTTGAGCCAAAATCAGATGAGGAGAGGCCAAAATCCTTAACTGAGTCCCAAAGATTTGAACCTTCAAATAAATTGTTACAGAAAAGGTCTAACATTTAAAAGTTTATGTTTGAGAACTGACAACCATTCCAAAATCATTATAAATTAGCGAAATAAAAATGGTACCCTTTCAAAGTATCTCTCACTTCTTTTCTGAACTGACCAGCATGCTTTGAAAGCAGGAAAGATAAGCTAATTAGGCCAGATGGGAGGAGACAATTTCTTTATTCTAATCTAGCCAGCTAAGCTCTTTACCAACACTCTCCTTGCCTTTAACAAGCAGTCCGTCCACTTAAAAATAATGTTTCACATGTAACTCACTGTTTTACAATTTGTCTCAATCTGCTAGTCATACCTGACAGATTCACATATTCTCTGGGTTCTTCCACAACTATGATTTGCAAGCATAAAAAGCCCAAAATGACTATATCTACATCAGAAATACAGAGCTACATACAAACAAAGTTGTTTCTCTTTGTAAGAAAGCTACTGTCTTGTAAATTTCCCTCTTTAATTAAAAAAAAATTGAACACCTTTCACTAAAACTACTATGTCTCCTTATCTATAAAATAGGATAGCAATAGTAAAGCTAACTCATGATAGAGATGTTGCGAGGATTAAATTTGTTAACACACAGAAAACACTTAGAATAGTATCTAGCACACACTAAGCACACAATATGAATGATAGCTATGTGATAATAACTTTGTTGCTTAATTTGCTATTAAGCATGAGGCCCAGTGTGTTTACCTACACGAGGAACACCTAACCAAGAAAGGATATCGTTTACCGCAATGGGAGACCAGATAAAAATTTTTCACAGTTGTCTGTATCAAATAAACCTAGTAAAAAGCAAATAAAATTGGTCACAATCCCCGTGGGAGCTAGGATTTACTATGAAATAGCAACAAATCTCTATCTTACGTATCTCTGGCAAAGTTCTCTGGTGAAAAAAAATTTTTTTGTAAAGATCTAAAGCACATTCCTCTTCAGAATCTTAAATAGTCCTCACCCTGATTTCTCCAGTCCCCAAAACAGCAAACTCAGTTATCAGAGAAGAGACCACCTGGGTGGGTACAGACCACTCCAACATAAAGAAGCCTCATACACATAGAACAGCCCCATGGCAAAGTTTCCAGCTTTCCATAAGGACAAGTTTAGTTACAAGAGACTACAGAGGGAAGCAAGGGTACATGTTTTCCAAGAGTATTATGTTCTGGTCAAAAAGGCCTTCAGGGTATGCATGTCTACTCATAGTTCTCCCAATCCAGACAGTTCAACAATTAGAGGTCACTTTCATGATAAAAAAAATATTGAATACAACTAACATTTATTCTAGCTCAGTATTCCTCCAAAGAAATAGTATTGAAAGAAGGAAAACCTAAGATAATTTCCTATTAAGAAAGGGCTTAAGCTTGGAGTTAAGCCAAAAGTAATTAAAGTGTAAATGAATAATCTTACGTGACTAAAAAGTAGGTGACGGTGGGAAGATGAGAATAGAACGTAATTTTGAATCAGATTAGAAAGGGCTCTGTATGACAAGTCTAGACCTCTTTTCCCCCTAAAATAAAAAACAAAAAAACAAAAAAGCTGATTTTTAGAGGTATTCAACTTCTAAATCCTAGTTAAGTGATTGGATTATGACTTTAAAAATAAAAAAAAGAGCTGCCACTTTTCTCATCCCAAGTGTTGCAAAACAAAAATAGTGTTATCTTCTCTAAGAGGGCTTTCCCTGTCCACTGACAACCCTCTTATTATCTACCACCTCTCACTAACACAAACACGCACGCACACACAGACACACAGACACACACACACACACACATCCCAGGCTGAACACACTCCTGTGCTCCCAAAGAAATTCTATGACTGTTTTTAACAGGGACTATTAAAACTGTTCATACGTCCACTTCTCCCATCAGACTATAAATGACTTAGGAATAAGAGCTGCCATTCAATTTTTTCTACCTACTACGCTGCCTGCTCGTAGTAGGTGCTCAAAAATGTTCCCTGGACTGACAATCAAATTAACTATATGTCTGCTAAAACAGGAAGAAAAATTAATCTAAGCATCAATTATATGATGGCACTGAGAATAATACAATTTAAAATTTATCTCTATGAATGGCTTACTTTTTTTAAGAAAAAAATTACATCTCAATTTAATGAATTAAAAACATGTTTAATATAAAATGTTGATATTCTCAAAGTATTATTTCCACATTAATTTAGGAAAATGAGTTTTAAACAATCTTCAAAACATGATAAAGGACAGTGGTATCTTTGAAAAACATACAAACAAAAGAAGTTAAGAAGTCACAAGAAAATGTATTATATACTTGTTTTCCCAAAATTAGATATACAAAATAATTAATAGTAATCTAAAAAAGTCCCCTCCCACACACACACAAATTGGGAATGAAATATGTAATTATAACCACCTTTATAAGAAATCTCCAAAGGACAAACATCTTTAACAATATAAAGATGGTGACAGGATTAACAGAAACTTAAGGACACTAGGCTTAACTCACAACTTCAATTCACATAATTTTTAAATAAAATGTTCCGACTTTTAGCCTCATCTTAAATTGCCTTTGCTTCATTGCTTTACATACAAGAGATGCTTTAAACAGAATGTAAATCCAAGAGATGCTTTAAGCAGAACATTAAAATAATATTATTAAAAACCATTTTTCTTGTCTGAGAAAATACAATATAATCATCCTCTCAAAGTATTCCTGACAGCATAAGGAGGCTGTGAAGCGTTTAATCACATGAAATACCACCATCATCACATCAATTCAGAACTGTTACCTGAACATTTAATAAAAACTCTGCTCCACGAGGGTCACAGATCTCTAAAAGTTATGATTTAAAATTTAAAAGCAATGAGAGCAATCTGGCTTTTGCAGATGAATACTGGGTAAGTGGAGCGATAAAATTATATATTTAGCTCTAACAATAAATAAGACTTTGAGGAGTTTTTTAATTAAAGTTATGAAGACACCAATTTTATCTTCTATACTTAAAAGAAACTGTGTACATAGATTCTGGGTATCAGAATAGGATAGGATTCAATTTTTATATAGCTATACCTCAAATAAACTAAGCTGAACTACATATACAGTTTTAAAAACCTATTTTGGATAGCTAAATTCTTTGTGTCCGAATTTCACTCTGAATGAACTAAACTCTCAAATCCCTACACATGACATCAAAAGAAATGGAAAACAAATAACAATTAGAGCGGAGTGACGGTTCCATTTAGCAACTGAGAAAAATAAGCTGCGCTTTGAAAGAGTGCATTTTTATTACCTTCCTAACATCATGTCTTCTCTTACACTATACAGAAGGGATGCCGTAAATGGCATTTTCTGAAGCCTTGATACTAAAATTCTTTTTAAAAAAATACACAGTATTCATACTGCATGCTTGAGTTGCAAAGAACAGAATTACAATATAATGTGACTTGTCAAATTTGACAAGCACTGGGGCTGGCACCAGGGAGGACCTACCTCCCTTCAACTCCCAGTTATGTGGAAGTACAGATCACATAGTTTTCTTATCTACAAAAACATTCCCACATTACATACGCTATTGCATAATCCAAGCATATTTAATCAGAAAAATATCAAATATTTATGAAATTTTAATTTCTAATAAGTTTCTCTATATCACCCCTATTTCCATCCCATCTACGTGATCCCGACAATTCTAATAATATATCTTATATATTTTAAATAATGTACAATGACTTATAAAACTACTACAAGTTATTTTCTTCTCTGTGAGCTGGCTAACACAAATGCTGGTAAGCGGCTTTCCAGTAATCGTATAGAGCATCTGTGTCATGTTTGTACAGATTAACTAGCTATTGCTGCCCTTCTGTTGCTGTAAATGAAGTTTCAAAATGAGCTCTCGAATATCTTCCCGTTTGGTCTTTATTACATGACGAGGAAACCATTTCTCCAAATGAATTGGAAGTTCAAAGTTAACAATAGGATCCTAATGAGAGAAAAGACAATACAATCACTTTAGCATTATAATTCAAATTTGTTTTAATTTCATTTTTGTAAGAGATGAGAAATTGCTAACTTATTAAAGTAACAGCTTTACTGAGATATAATTCACATACCATGCAATTCTCCTACTCAATTGAATGATTTTCAGTATATTCACAGAGTTGTGCAACCATCACCACAATCAACTTCAGAATATTTCATTAAATTGCTAACTTTTGAACATCAAAAATAAATACCATCTGTTTTGCTACAATGCATGTTTAAGTGAATTATGAATTAGTGCAAACAGAACTGATAAACAGAGAATAATGCAGCACAATGCAGAAGTCCAGTTGGTTTGAACACGATTTGTTCCAAAATGTTAATATTTTGAAACTATTAAAGCAAAGAGAAAGCCTTAGCAGTAAATGAAGAGTCTCAGATAAAAAAACAGATAATCCTGCAGAAGTACCATCTTTTAGTGCAAGAAATAGCCAATTAAATGGCTTCAAGAACTGCTACATCTTCCATTGTATTAAGCTGATCAATGAAGTTGCAGGTTGCAACTACAAAGACATTTCTGCCTGTGTTTTAAAAAATCAATAAATAACTGCTGAAGAAGGCTTCCCCTAGATCATGTTCATAAATTTGATGAAACTATTAGAAGCCATATGTAAGACGGACTTATATCTTGAAGAAGAAATTAAGAGTCCCAGGGTACAAAGCTGAAGTGATGGACTGACTGTGACTCTAGGAGCAAATGTGGAGATTTAACTCTGCAAGTATTTTTATTAGAATTAATACTGTTTTTGTTAAGGTCAAGTTACAAAGTTCCACAGGTTTTGAGTGGTCAACCTGAAATCTATTTTCTTCAACCTATGCTGTTACATTAGTGTACAAATATATTTGTACAAATATATTCCCCTTCACCAAGGAATCTTCATTAAACAGTGCTGCAACCTATACTAGAAGTTCTACAGACTGAAGCTACACATAAAGTAGAATTATGTAACAGACTCATAATATGTTATGTAATAAAGCACTTTGGATATCCTAAAAACAAAAGCAAATCTCTTTGGAAAGAGTATTAGAAGACCAGAACTGTCACCGTATAATGAAGTTCCAGTGTAGGAATAAAAAAGGAAGACAACAATAACAATGTAACATGTTGAATGGTTTTTCATAATGTGTACCATCGTCTACTATATATTATCAATCCTCCCCAATTATACAAGAAGTTATAACTGCATACTGTAACCTTTATGCTTTGAAAGCACCTTTAAGGATTCTCCAAACAAGCCTTATACTCATCTCCATAAATAATATTGGTAACGACTGAAGTAATGAGCTAACAGCTCAAAAAGCAAAGGGTGATCCCTTGCTATTTAATATCTCTTTTAAATGTTGCTACAGTTCCTATAGTCTCTGATGAGCTGGAAAATAATACCCATACTTGTCACAGTACTTATGTAGTTTAAGGTTTTCTCAACTTCTTGAATACACAAGTTTTTAGTTTTGAAAATTCTTCTTCAAATATGTATCTGCTTCATTCTGTCTCTCCACCCCACTCCCCAATCCTCCTGGGACTCCAATTACATATAAATTAGACTTTTTGACTGTATCACACTTATCTCTTATGCTCTGTTCTCTTCTTTACATTCTTTTCCCTCTCTGAGCTACAGTGAGATATCTTTAGTCCTCTTTTTAAATTCCCTAATCCTATCTTCTGCTGTATTCAGTTGGCTGTTAAATCCATCCAGTAAGTTCTTAATTTCAGATATATCATTATGCATTTTCAGCCCACTTGATTTTTCTTAACAGATTTCATTTCACACATTTTGTTTATCTTTGACTATTTTCTCTAACATATTAATCATATAATTTTTAAGTTCTTTTTTTGGCTAATCCCAATATCTGGGTTGTATGCAGTTCTATGCCTTTTTTCTCCCTCTGATAACCTGTAACATTTTCCTGCTTCTTTGCTTGCCCAGTAATTTTGTGATTATATGCTGATAATTGTGAATTTAGAACATATTTATATCTTTACATACCTTAAAGAAGCTTTCCACATATTGCAGTAAATACACCCCACAATCACTGCTGTTATCTTGTTTAGGAACTTTAGGGCACAGGTCCACCATGTTTGTTTTGCTGAATTCACGATGAGTTTTTCGTTTAACTTCCCACTCTACCTCTAAATACCTTAAATCATCAAAAAGTAGAGTGACTTCAGTAGAAATTTCTATACTATTATGTAACACTTTCACAAAGATCAAAAAATATTTGCTGCCAAATATGTTGCCTCTGGACACACTGCCAGACTAAACTTTAACAGTACAAATTATAATATGTGAGGCTTCAAAAGTGCTACTTTAAAGAAAAATCACCTGAGTTTCAAAATAAAAGCTAGACTTTTTTCAACAACTGAACTTTCTTAACTCATATACATAACTTATATTACAAAATAATTTAACAAATTATTTTTAAACTTTAGTTGGTAGCTTTTTCCATATCCTACAGTAAATTTTAAAATTACAAACACACATGATAAGAATGTAAGAGTTCTTATTTCTTGTTAAAGCATTACTTTTGGTAACCACTAATAGTTGCAATGCTGTTGTAAAACTATGCTTTTGTTCAATTATAACTACAAGTTCTAAATTTACTTTTAATATATCCTTGAGAAACATTTTAATACCTGAAGATTAAGACATAATGGTGATATTTATTATTAATTATTTATAGGCCTCATCTAAACACATAATAAAATATAATTCCTGACATAATCTTTTCAGTAATTCTAAGGTAACCTAATAATTATTGAGATTTTAGTAAAATTGTCATTACTTACTCTCGTAAATTCTGAACTGTGTTTTGCATGGAAGCAGCTTTTAAGGAGTCTAGAATGAGAATACACGGCCTGTGGAAAGCAAAGGAAGAAATCAATATGGACATGTCTGCATAGAGAGTGAACCTAAATATCTGAAAAAACTGTATTATTACAGCATGCACCTACCTTTTACACATTTTCTTTGGTACTGATGTATTCATCTCAGGACTCTAAAATTACATGAATTTTTATGACTTTACAATTAAAGCTAGTTTATGACTTTACAACACTAAGTTACTCTTTAAAATATTTCTAACAACTATGAAATTAAAATTTCAAATATTAGAGTTCTTTTCATCAAGTGAAGTAAGCCAACATCATTTTTCAAAAATTTTTTGATTCATGTTCTTATACTGGTGAAACAATAGTTCATATACTTTTACATGTGGCCTCAATAAGTTATGGAGCTTTAATATGGCCTAAAACACAACATGGAACTTGAATTGCTTCCATTCAGACTTGCCATCTTAGCAAAGATAAACATGTTAATTTAACCTGTCCTTATACATATTCTGTTAACATACAATGTCAGTAGAGACAGGCTGCTTCCCCTTGAAACATAAGAAGCAGAGTATTAATACATATTAAGGGACAAGAGATGAGTTATTTTGTTAATTTTGATAAATTTGAGAATAGATCAAATTTTCTTCAGTGTGGAACTTCTCAGGACCTGTATTATTCTAATATAACAGTGAATCTCTAAGAAGAATAGGACACAGGGCCTACTCATCTTAACTGACCTTGGAATTCTTGTTATCATAAACTGCATCTCAGAATAAGTGTTCCAAGGAACTCAGTCTGGGAAACCTGGCTCTGGGAGCAAGAAGGAACCCCCTTATTCTGCCACTGTGACAGCAGAAAAGGAAACCACCTTCCTTCTGCTCACCCTATTCCAGTGACAGTAAAGACACAGGCCTGGGCCAAGGAGGCTGCTGCTGCTGCCTGTATTTATTAAAAAAAAAAAAAGTATGTGGCTACCTAATCAAGAACAATGAAATCTAGACCATGAATACCAGTTTGGAGGTCTATTTAAAGAGAAGTTAACAGTAACTATCTTAGCCTCAGGAGTCATATGGATTGACCATGAGTCTACTTTGAATAATTTTCACCAACAATTCACAATAATAGAAAGTTGAATATAAAACATAGGTTATTAATTACTCTAAGCACAAGAAATTCTGACTTAATGAAGAATAATGTACATTTTTCTATAGAAATTGGAAAAGTAGCCAATCAAGAAGATCAGATAAACTAGTAAATAAACAAACCTAGAGAGTTAAAGTAAGCCAAACAGACGCAAGAAGAATGATAATTTCTCTTGTTCTCTTTCCTATCCCAGCAAAATACATCAAAGGATCCTAAAACAGCACAATTTAATTACGGTCCACCAATATCCATCATAGCTCACTTAGCTATGCCTTGTTTCACAGATAAAATTATTATATTTATGAGTTTTCCTTCCTTTACATCTATAAAAAACACACTTACTTGGGAATCCTCCGTACCCAAGGACAGTGCTGAAGTAGTATGTAGATCATTATCTAGTTAGGAACAACAAAGCAGTTACGTGTGATAACTTCATGTATAATACAAAGCATTTAGATAAGCTTAAACTGAAATTTGTATGCGTAGCAGTAAATAAAGGGAAAAAATACCTGGAATCTATTTAGTTATTTTTCATGGTTAATGTTATGAAAAATTCAATTAACACAGAAAACTGATCATGGATAGCTGTCATCAGACAATACATAAACCCCAGAGCCAAAACCTGAACTACCAGTTAGCTGGGCCAGTTTCCTATAAAAAGACAATCTTCAAAGACTGCTCAATGATCAAAATCCCTAGTGTTTAATTGCGGAGGATTGTTAATTTGCCTAGTAATAATTCTTCTAAACTATGATCACAGAGGGTTGCAAAAATATACTTTTGAAGCACAAGAGGATTAAACAAAATTGAAAATAATCTGCTCTTTTGGCAGTTTTTCTTCCTTCCCCACTAGAGAAAGGTTTTGGTCAGTTATGAAGAGTTATGGCTATTATTAATTTGCTTACCACTTAGACTACAGCTATAAAACATAATTTTGATTTGTTTTCTGTTTGCTTACTTCATTAAGATTGGGTTTGCTTCATTTGCTTCCTTCATTAATGTAAGAAAAATCATGGAAGAATTATAACAGACCTGATACTACCTAGCCCAATTACTAGTGTCAACAAGAATTGTGCTCATTTATATTAAGAAAAAGAAAAAACAGGAGATTTCAAGCTATGCCTGAAGATTCACGGCATGAATTGTTAGGCACATTAGCAAGATGATACTATAAAAAGTACTATGATAAAACCTGATGTAACAGTATAACTTGAGAATTACATTTTGTCTATTCATGAGTCTGGGCAACTATCATGAAAATTTCAGACATTATTTCTTCTAATATGTTTAATGATAATAAATAACTATACTATCTGTTAACTTCATATTGTTTGCTACATTCATTTTACTGTTACTATCATTATTAAAAACACCATCTATGCTAAGTTTGTCACCTATTGTTTTATTGTCATGTTGGGATTGCTGAGCCTGGGAGTGCTGGGATATAGTTTGTGGAAAATCTTCATACACAGCTTCTTCTAACCATGGAAAACAAATGACTGCAAGATACCAGTGAGACCTGTTGAAAAAGAAATAAGCTCTTAATAACACAAAATCTAAACAACCTAGAAGAATAAGTTCAAGAATTATAGCTGAGAAGCTAGGTATGATAAACTTCTTATCTATTTTGAAGAAGTCCATTCTAATATCTGATATAATACAGAACACACATTCCAAAACTAATTTAAAAAGTAGTAAGACTTCTTAGAGTAAAATCTGAGTAATTCAAACTAATTTACGTTCATATAATTCGTGTGTCCTGTTAAAGATCTGGTTTAATAAATAGACTTATAGCATCACCTTCTTTCTATTGGTGCGTAAAGAGCTTGTTCTCATAAGCATTTGAAGATTCTTCCTAAAACACTCTGATCTTTTGTTTTCAAAATCTTTTCTTGAGTACCCCCAACCAAAAATTCAATGTCTCAGTCATTTTAGTCTTGTGGGCAACTACCATTTTATTTTTTTCACTATTTATAATATAAATACCATCAAACCAAAATCTAAGATAAATAAACTCATTATTTTAGCTACTTCTTTAGAAAAAATTAAAAATAACACCTACGTTTATATATCCACACTTTTTATTGATTATTGATCTAAAAATGCACAAAATATTTTTTCTGCACTGTCTGTGATTTTGCTTTTAAGTAATCTGAAATACTTACGACTCATTTACAGGCACAAAGATATAATCTTTATTAAAGATGTTTATGTGACGAGTCCATGTTCTTACTCTTTTATGTCTTCTCTGAGCCATTCTAGAAATATAAAAGATAGATATATTTGGTATACAAAAAATTAAAATTTTAAGATAAGGTTTTCAAGAGTCCTTTTTATACACTGAAAAATGCTAGTTTTAGCTTATTTAATCATCTTCTTCAAGATATAATATTTAATGGACTAGAAAATTATCTCCTTTTATTAACTCCTGGCTATTTTTAGTTCAGCACAATGAAAACATCTCTGGGTTAGAAGTTAAAAGATAAAGATTTCAGTACCAGCCTGTTTTGTCACTCACCAGAGTTCTGCCAATCTTTATTGCCCTGCTTCCTCATCTGAAAAATGCCCTATATATCTAAAAACATTGTTATGGGAAGAAATAATGTACAATAATGTACCTTGTAAAGTGGTAGACAAAAGTTTATGTTAACTTTTTAAAAAACAAAACCCCTTAATTTTATCAGGGTTCTTCTGTAGAGATTATCACACAGATTGTTAGGGTGGGGGAGGGATGAAGCGGTTCCATGCTCACAGCTGTCGGAGTCAGCGCTATTTAAACTACAAAGTCTACTCCTTCCTCCTCCATGTCCATCCCTAGCCACCGCTCTATAGGTTTTAGAATTAATCAAAAAATACTTGGACAGAAATTCAGCTAAATTATGAGGACAAGTATGGTATTTTGTGCACTGTTAAATCAGTTTAATTAAACAGTAGTATGTCAGTAAGGCTGTGACCAAGAAAACATACACCACCCTACGTTTTTAAGACAGATAAAATGTAATGCAAAGAATTGGCTTCAGTGGTGATAAAAAAGTGCAAAGCCAAAAAAGGCAACCAGGGAGGCAACCAGAGATTAGCATAGTAGGACAATGCTATACTTTATGCTGAAGGGCAAAGTGAAGAAGCAGCACCTCCAGATGGAAGCTGGAGCTCTGCCAGGTCCATCCGGTGCAAGACAGACCCAGAGCAGAAACAGAACCACTACCAGAGTAACTGCCAAGGCAAAGATGGTACAGAAGAAAACATCCTGGCTGCTTCTTTCCTTGCCCTCCAACCTCAGTGTCCCCCACAGAACATGCAATTGGAAAAGCAACCTGCAAGAGTCAGCCTCCCTGTGATAGGGAACAGAACAGAAGGGTGAGAAACATCTCCCAGAGCAAACTGGCCCAAGATCTGCACAAGTGGTAATACTGCTCACTCTGGGAAGTAATGTAAGACGTTATTTCACTAGGAGCATCAAAACACTGTTTTCCTCTTAAAATTTCAGTACATTAGAAGACTGACTTACGAAAGATTTGGATTATCTTCTGTTAAATTATTTTCCTTTCTTGTCAAGCATTTATAGAAAAAGCTACTAAAAATGTGACTTCGTTCAACAAGTTCATCAGATGCTTTCTCCAATATAAGATACCTGTAAAGTAGCGACAACTTAAAGTAAGTTATTTTTGGATTTTACTTGGTCTTCCTCCAATCATCTTATGTGTTCTGAAAATCTTCACTTTTTGTCCAAAGTCAAAACAATCTTGTAATTTGCTCTGATTTTCACATTTTTTGTTCTTTAGTTACATCACTTCCTATCAAGGTCAGTTGAAGAAGAAATTTTCCATTTACTCACTCATTCACTCAACAATTACCTACCAAATTCCTAACATGTGCCAAGCACCACATTTACACTAGAGACACAGAATAAGAGGGGACAAAAAAAAAGCACCTGCCTCCATAGAGCTTACAATACAAAAAAGCGAGGGTACGAGGAAATATTAATCAAATAATCACACAATCAAATATAAAATTGAAACTATGACACTCCTAAATAAAACTAGAGAAACTTTAACAACTGAGACATAACTAATCTCTAAATCCTTAATCCATTTCTATACTAAAACAACTCTTCAATATAAGGTTATAATTTAATCATTTAATAATTAAGCCCTTCAAAATCAGGTAACTGCTATTCTTAATAGTTTATAAAGGTTCAAAAATGATCTTGTAATTGCTTTTTTTTTTAAAAAAAAGCATAAAAAACAAACACAACTTGAATTTTTTAATGTAGTTATGGGGAGGGTATTCTATGTGGAAGGAAACACAAAGAATGATTTTGCTGTGCTACAAGTGTTCTTTATCTTGATCTGGATGATGATAACATGAATGCACACATAAGTGAGCATTCATGAGCTGTACACTTAAAATTTATGCACTTCACTACTTGAAAGTTATTCATCAATTTAAAAAATAAACAGAAGAGAGGTTTTAAAAAGTTAGAATCCTCTCTGAAAAGTCAATAAGACAGAGATACAGAAAATTTAGTGAAGAGAAAGTATAGGAAAATATTATTAGAACTGAGTTAGAAATAAAATTTTGTTAGTTAATTCCAATAAAACCTAACATGAACAGCAAAGATGATCCATTTCATCTCACAAAATATAAATGTGACACTATTACAGGGATACAAAAATAAGTAAGATGTTTAACCTTTAGAAAGAGAATAATCATAATACTACCAAATAACCTTAAAATAAAGCAAAATATTATAAGCACCATAAAAGATATGCAAATGAAGTATTATGACAATTAATATCTATTTAGGATCAGGAAGTTTCAAGAAGGTAACACTTCCAAGGAACCCTGAAAGAGGAATAAAACTTCAACAGGTTATGATAAAGAGGAGAGTATTGCAAGAAGCAAGAAAAATAGGGCATTAAGGCAGAAGAGTGAATAAGAATGGGCTTTGTTTAATAAACTATTTATAATTAAATTTTGCTGGACTATGTCATATGCATAGGGTTATTAGCTGAAAGACCGATTATTGTCATATTATCAAGACACTCAAATGCCTATGTTTGAGTTCATTTTGATGAGTAATAAGAAATTACTAAATGTTTCTAGTGGGAATTGCATCTTACAGAGCAGTTTAAGAATAATAATAGTGGTAATAATATATGTAACAGATCAGAAAATAGAGACAAAGGATATAGGAGATGAGTGAAGAATAACAATTTAGGTAAGATGCATAGTACTAAAAATATCATAATGAGAAAATAAAGCAAATAAATGAATTAGACAGAATCTACCACTCAGGCAAGTGAGTATGTAGAGAGGGGAGCGTGAAGAGTCAATGATAACAGACTTCACTCCCAGCCAAGATGGAACAATAGGGACCAGATTTACACTCCTGTTTGAAACAAGTAGAAAACTGGACAAAATAAATGAAACAATAGTTTTCAGAATAGTGGGTATGATGCAGCAAAGAATAGTGACCCTTGAGAAATGGACAGCTCCATAATTGCTCCAGCTTACTGCCTTGACAATTCCAGGCTGCAGCACAGGAAGGGACAACCCAGGTGGAGCCTGACAGGCTCCCAGAGCTGAGGAGATGCTGAGAGTCAGAAGAGAAGAAAGCAGTGGGAGTTTGCAGATCAGAATATTGGAAAAGAAAAAGCAGTATAGAGAGAGAACTCCAGATATTTGCAGAGTCCTCCTCTAGGATTTAGCAGAATACTGATCATTGCATGTATATAAAGAAAATGTCCAAGGCTGAGGAAAAGAACTACCTGAAAAAATTAGAGGGAATGGTACCCACCATTCACACAGGCTTCAGGAATGGTGCCTGTTCCTACTAGCCAGTCTGGAAAACCTTGTAATTCATGAAGCACTGAGTAGAGCACTCAGAAGGGTCTTTCCTCAGTGGCAGGGATTAACTTGTTGGTCTCACCTAACAGCTCTTAAAAAGCAAGACCCTTAAAAGCATCAAGCTGTTTCCAAACAATCTGTATTTCAAAACAAAATTCGAGAATATTTACAGGAATAAAAAAATACCCCAGCACCCAATTTAAAAATTACCGGACATTCAAAGAAGCAAAAAACAAATAAACAAAGACTCATAATGAAGAGAGAAAACAGTCAATTGAAACAACCCAGGACTAACACATATACTAGAACAAGTAGAAAAGGACATTAAAATAGTTATTATATAATAATTATGCTCCATATGTTTAAAAAATTAAATAGAGACATGAAATATATAAAAAAGACCCAAAGAGAACTTCTAGCGATTAAATCTACAATGTCTGAGATGAAGAGCAGATGATAATTTGAGATTCTGAGCCTAAGAGACTAGAATAAGGATAGCACTATTAGTAAAACAATAGGGCCTCTTCAGCAGTAAGATGATAATAAACTGGTTTGGGAAGAGCCAGTGAAATAATTAGGAGACATCTTGAAGAAGTGCTGGAAATGTAGGTCTAGGGATATATATACTACAACATGAGGGCTAGAGACAAATTACTTTTTGCGCGAAAGTTTATAAAACTTTCCTATGTATTTCTTCAGCTTGGCTATAAAAAAAAGTGAAAATTATTTTTAATGGAACAGTGATACGGATTTTTAAAATGACATTAACTCTTACAGTGCTTTAAGACACAATAGCTAACTACACAGAATTGCTTCTTTTCAGTTCCCAAAGTGATTTGTAATTATGTAATACAAATATAATATAGTAATACAAAAGACAAAGAGCTATCCATCAAAAATAAGCCAATTAATACAACAAAACAAACAAAAATACAGTAACTCTTCTGAAGTATACAGTATCTATGGGAAGTAAAGGAATGAAACTGAATTAGTCAACTCTAGAAAACTTTGGTAGGCAAACATTTTTCAAATCTGGTATTTTGGCAGGTTATTTTTAGCTAGAGTTAAAACACTTCAGAGATAAAGATATTCACTTTAAGATTCACATCAAAACCTGTAAAACAAGTGAGATCATTTATCACTGTACTTACTTAAGGTAGAAATCAATGATCACGTCATTAAGAAACTCTCCTTCTTCTAAGCACTCCAGATCTTCGTTAGTTACTCCTAAACCCCCTTTAGTAGGTGGTGGAGGATACACAATCAACCTTCAAAAGTAAAAATAAAGTTGAAATATATTAATATTGAAAATTCTAGTATCAAAGAGATTTGTTATATGGAACAATAACAGGGAAGAAGTATTCAGTAGCTAAAATGTGTAGGTAAAAAATATTTGACAGAATACAAGCTATTATATTTTCCTTCCTTTATTTTCACAAGCTACTAATAGTACTCTCAGTGAGTACCTTATAATTTCCAATTCTCCCCATATGGGCTAGTCTTAAATTTGTCTGATCAATAGGTTTATATCTCACATTCAGTTACAATATCACTGAAGATGTGTCTCTTATGTACAATTTTTAACATTCAAAAAACCAAAGTAATAAACTATAGAAGATTTTCCTATGTTCCACTTCCCAATGCCAAGACTAGTTCCTTTCCATTCAAAAGAGCCAGCAGTCAAAAACTATGTTCTCCCACTGATGGCTAGTCTACACCAGCAGCTGGACAATGAAGAAATAACATGGGAGCTTAGGAGGGAAGTTTCCCATAACAAAGTGCTTACAATATAAAACTCAAGAGAACAAAAAGGAAATGAATAATTAGAACACAACCAGAAAGAAATGAAAAACAAGATGACAACGAATTACGCATCTTTCCTCTGGCACTCTCTTTTAAAGCTCAGAAATCAAAGCAATTGTGAATTCTGGCTACAGTCTTGGAACAGACAGCGTGGTACTCATGGCACAAATATAGTCAATAATAAAAGTATAATATGTACTTCTTGAACTAGAAAGATTCAAGAAGAATAACCTGCAATTGATTTAATCTCGGTAACCATGGCACCTAAATCAAATAATATGTGAAAATTTTAAGTGCTAATATAATAGTTACTAACTTATTGGCTATTTTCCTATCTCATAATTTCACTTTTTTTTTCTAACAAAGGAATCACGTAAAGGACTAGAAATCACCCTCAAATGCACAGACTCTCGTATTCTGCCTTACCACCCAAAGACGACATATAAAAAGCAAAATATGAACAAAGAAGCAAGATCTGAAAGGGAAGTTCTGCTAAACTCCAAAGTACCTTAAACTGAAGCACACTTTAGCAAGCAATTTCATTTTTCCTATCATATATTCAGATATGGAACATATACTCCTAAAAACCATATATTGCTATTTGAATATTTTCAATAAATGCTTTAATCTTACCAAATTTGACATATTGGCTACTATTTCTGACTTACTTACATAAAATGAAACAAAATGGCATGGGTTGTTTTCTTATTATTTCTTTTAACTTTTTAATAATTATTTGTTATTAACTGTCAGCAAGAAAGTCAAAACATTCTAAAAAGGTAAAATACTTAAAATCAACAACATGAATGGAAACTACTAATTTGCCCACCTATTACAAACGGGATATGACACAGTACATACTTCTGAACAGGTCCAGTGTGCCTGACTTCTCGCCATTCTTCATCTGGATTAGATGTAATAGAAAGTGAGTAGCAACCACTACTTTGCTTCTGCAGTAAGGTGTAAGTAGGCTTGGCTGTATCTGCATTTGAGGGCTGACAGAAAATGGCAAAGAAAAAGGTCTTATAAATACATACCAACTCTCAAAAGAACAAAGTCAAAACCTAGACTTGTAAGAGAAAATGTGACAAAAAGAAATACATACCAAGAGTTATATATATTTTTAGAATTTCTACAAAGATATAACCAAACAAAATAATACTTTGGATCAAACGATACTGTGCATACAGTGACCAAAGTTTAACCTGAAGTGTTACTTACAGATCTGGGCTTTATAATTAAATTAGAATCTGAAAGCAGTGCATTTTGTTCAAAATAAACAAAAGAGGTAATAAATAGTAGGACAAAATTTAAAAGAGAGACCAAAAAGAGTTTATAACAACATAAATTGATATTTTATTGTTAAGTGGAAAAATACAAATTTATATATACAATGTAATTACCAAGCAAAATTTTTACGATGTTATATTAAAGATGGTGGTGAAGTCTTACACCTCGTCTTCCATTAATGTACCTTTCTATTGACCTTTTAAATAAGAGATCAGCCCCAGACCAAACCCACATGTAAGTGTGTGTGTGTGTGCAGGCACATGTCACAACAAACTTAATTAACACTTTTCTTTCTAGAGGTATTTGGCAGAGATATACAAGCCACATGTATATTCCCAACCTCCTATAAAAATAAACATAGCATTTTTTAACTTACTATTATTTCAAGACAATTTTAGATTATAAAAGAATTGCAAAAAACGGACAAGCCTCTCCCAGATTCCCCTAATAATAATATCTTATATAACCATAGTACAATTATCAAAAGTAAGAAATTAATGTTGGTGCTGTGTTGATATTATAAATTATAGACTTTATTCTGATTTTACTGGTTTTTCCACTAATAAATTTCTTCTGTTTCAAGATCCTATAATTCTTCAGTCTTTTCCATGTCTTTCATGACCTTGATATTTTTTTGACTGTTGGTCAGTTATTGTGTAACTAGCTTTGTCTGATTTTTCTCATGATTAGATTGAGGTTATACAATACTAAGAAGAATGCCACAGAAGTGATGTACTCTATTCTATGCATGATATGACAGGTATGTTATGTCGATGCGTCTCATTACTGGTAATGTTAATTTTGATCACTTGCGTTAAGGTGATGTTTGCCACGTTTCTCCACTGTAAAGTTACTGCATGTTTTCCTTCTTGTAATTAAAATATTTGGGATGAGAGACTGAGATTATGCACATATCTTATCTCACCTTAAATTTTCACCCATTAAATTAAGCATCTCTCAGTGGACCTTACCTGCAACAATCGTAATTTTCCTAGCAGTGGTTTTACGTTTCTCTTATTCCTTTTACATCTATTAATTGGGATACTTTTCTAACAAAAGAATTGTCCCTTACCCACTATTTATTATCTATTTTTTATTCATTCATTCATTCATTCATTCATTTGTATCAATATAGATTCATGGGTACATCTTATTCTTTGGTAATAATCACATGCTATCATTACTGATTTTGTTGATCTAAATGATCTAGCTTTGACATTGGGAGTTCTTTTAGGTTGGTTCCTATGCCCTTTTGACAAAATACAGCATTCTGAAATCATCCTAATTTCAATGAAAGAATTTTTACCAAACTGCCTCCCTCCCCCTCATTAATTACATTAATCATATGCTAACCTGAGATACTGACTTCATCTTCATTTCTTCAGCAGCAGCAGCAGGGAAAGAACAAGTTGAAGCACAGTAATAATGAATAAAAGAACTTTCTTTTGAAGAGAGGTTCTGAAATAAAGGAAGTGCCTGAACCCAAGACAATGGATAAGAAAGCTCTAATTCTCCATTGGTTGTACTTATTTCTGTCATAATATCTTTCAATTTCAATTCTTCTCTTTGTGAAATAAAACTATGTAGCTCAAGGAAAATGAATTCAGTGGATTTTGCTATGAAAGAAGAAAGAAATAAATTTTATTAGTAGTATTTTTCAAGGGGATTATAGTTAAAATAATTTATTAATAACAGTAAGGTTGGTATATAACTCAACAAACTATTTTGTATGTTAGTTAATAACTCAGGCAAATTAAATCCCAAAACAGGTCATTAGTAACCTGAAACCAAAACTCACAATTTTTAGACTGCTACTGCATTAGAATGGAAACTCCACAATGGAACTGACTGCTGTATCTCCAGAATTTAGTAGGTGCTAATAAATATTTGTTACTGAATGTGTAACTAAATAAATAAATTATGACTAAGCAATTTTTTTTCTCTAGCCTTTTCTATATATCAATTTTTTTAATTCCAATTTCTAAAAATTTCTATTCAAATACTTCCTTCAAAATCATTTTGTCTCATCAATCATTTCAACAGTGGATTCAAATGACATTATCTCCCTGCATAATGTTTATAAATGGCTCACTGTATTTTCCCAACTTCTTTGCTATTTAATCATGAATTTCCCCAACTAATTTGGAAGTAATTAGTTGAGCAAAACAAGACATTTTGTAAAGGTATAAAATTTCAATCACTACTTTATATCTTTAATGTGCAAGGGAGTAGGAGGGGAAATGATAGCAAGATTAAAGAGGTAAGAAAGAAACTTACTAATTTGATTCACCCAATTCTAAACCAGACTTTCTTAAGAACTGGAAACTAAACAGAGCTGGGAAATATCTCAAGATGCATATATGTGTGTATATATATATATATATATATATATATATATATACACACAGATAAGTGTTATAAGAACATACAAAAAAGTATTCAATACAGTCTTAGAAAAATGATATGTAAGTAAACTGAGTTTTCTTTTTTAGAAACTGAAGGAAATGTTGAAGATAAAGAATTCTGTATTTTATTTAACTTTGCTACTGATTAGCTCTGTCACATTTCATTATATAATAAGGGCAAGAAACTTGTAAGACAGGTAGCCAAGGATGTCAACTGACTAAAAGATAAGATAGTCCTTTCATTTTATAAGATAATTTCACTTGGTTGAATAAAGTTATAAGGAGAAATTATGTGAATAAAATAATTTATCTCACAAAATATTAAGGGATTATCTTTAATTCAATGAACTTAATTTTAGTTCAATGAAATAATTACATTCTACTAAATTATTTTAGAAGAAAATTACTTTATTTATAGGGCTTCTCAGATTATCCTGAAATTCAGAAATCTTTATACTCACATTGCTGGCTTAATAGAGAGTTTTCTAACTGGGTCTGAATCTCTTGAAGATAATTTGAGGATACCCAAAGAAAGAGGATAGCATGACTTCTTTTACTGTGATCATTATCTTTACTTTTCCATAACCCAAACCTCTTTAAATGTGTGGTATCCACTAGCAATGAAATCTCATGCAGAGACACTGAAACAAATAAAAGACAACAGAGTAATAAATTAATCCATTTAGCAATACAACACTGTATGACTCTTAACACAATATATTTTTTAAAAAGAATTATATGCCAAGTTTTTTCTAAAATATTATTTCCTGTACACTTCACAGAACTTAGCTGAAATACCTAAACAGTATTATTAGAGTAAAAATGATCATATACAATTAGAAAGGGCTAAATAATTTTTAAATGATAATTAAATGTAGGACGTTTGTCTCTCAAACTATATAATCTCAGACTATCTTATCAATGCAGAAAACTAAGCAGAGTATAACTGAGAAAACTATGTAATTCTCTATCTTGGTCAATACTATCAACCAAGACTCCAAATGACAGCATGCTGTCATAAGCCACTTAATGCCTATTTTTCTTCTTCTAAAACATCTGCATTTCACGACACAGACCAGCCATTATTAAAAGATTCTCAAGAGTAATACAAGCTTCTGAATGGTCTAAGACGAAATTTCTTTTAAAATTCTTCCAAGTTTTACTTCTCAAAACTTCTAGGTAATCACTCAGAATTATTATTCTTTCTCCCTCTTAGTGAGCTAAAAGAATCTCCTCCAACAATCTTATTTTTCATTCAAAGAAACAGAAAACTAGTATAAAGAAGTCTTGAGGTCATCCAGTTCAACTTTGAGAAAATTAGCAGCTAAACTAGGAATACAAACATCAGTTAAGTATAAACCCAGGATGGTTACCCATTTGAAACAAATCTCTTACTATTCTCCCTTGCCCAGTTTCTCCTGGTGCCTGGCTACTCAAAACATAGTCCTCAGTCTGTGACATTGGCATCACCTGGGAGCCAACTGGAAATGCAGAAATCAGGCCCCACACTAGATCTACTGAATCAGAATCTTCAGTTTAGGAGGAGGGTATATACCTCAGTGGTAGAGCACGTGCTTGGCATGCACAAAGTCCTGAATTCAATCCCTAGTATCTCCATTAAAAATAAACAAATAAGCCTAATTATCACCCCCTCCCCAAAAAATAAAAAATAAAAAAAAGGGAGGAGCAGACTCTTCAGTTTCACAGCAACAAAAAAAGAAAATCCAAGTAATTCATATGAACATTAAAGTTTGAAAAGCATTTTACAGTAAGAATTCGAATAGTCATTAACTAGTCATCTTAATATTCCCAAAACAGTCATTCTATTTTTCTTATAAATTAATCCACTTTAAACATTTTCTCTTTATTCCTTTCATATTTCCTCCTTCCTCTTCCATTCTTTTCTTCCCTTATTCCATTTCCAGGTCTGTTCCTTGTTCCCTTTCTGTACTTTTCTACTCCTCTTCTCTGCCTGTTTGTATGTATACCTGCCTGACTTCCTCCCTTCCTATCCTGTCATGTCCTATCCTAGCCTACCTTCCTGCTTTCTTTTACTCTCTATTTACTGGCTCCTTTTCTTTTTTATATATGTCTTTTTTTTAATTGAAATATTGTTAACACAATACAATGTTAGTTTCAGGTTACTACACAATGATTTGACATTTGCATACATTATGAAACGATCACCATGCTAAGTCTAATAATCACCTGTCCCCATACAAAGTTATTAAAATGTTACTGACCATACTCCTTGTGTTGTGATTTCCTGTGGCTTATTTATTTTATAAGTGGGGGTTTACATCTCTTAATCCCTCTGACTTAATTTACCCAACTCCCCACCACCCTCCCTCGGGCAACCAGCTGTTTGCTCTATTTATCTATGAGCTACTTTCCTTTTGTTTTGTTTTTAGATTCCACATGTAAGTGAAGTCATATTGTATATGTCTTTGACTTAATTTCACTTGGCATTATACCCTCTAGATCCATCCATGTTGTCGCAAATTACCAGATTTCATTTTTATAATGGCTGAGTAATATTCCATTGTATATCTATACCACATCTTCATCCATTCATCTATGAAGACACTTACGTTGCTTCCATATCTTGGCTATTGTGAATAATACTGCAATGAACATTGGGGTGCATGTATTTTTTTGAATTACTGCTTTAGTTTTCTTTGGGTAAATACCCTGAAGTGAAATTGCTGGATCACATGACAGTTCTATTTTTAATTTTTTGAGTAACCGCCATACTATTTTCCATAGTGGCTACACCAGTTTACAATTCCAATGTGTGCCAACAGTACAAGAGGGTTCTCTTTCCTCCACATCTTTTCCAATGTTTGTTATTTGTTGTCTTTTTGATGATAGCCATTCTGCCAGGTGTGAGGTGATATCTCTTTGTGGTTTTGATTTGCATGTCACTGATGACCAGTGACTTCAGCATCTTTTCGTGTGTCTATTGCTCATTTGTATGTCTTTAGAAAAATGTCTACTCAGGTCCTCTGCCCATTTTTTAAACACGTTGTTTGTTTTTTTTATGTTGAGTTGCATGAGTTCCTTGTATATTTCAGATTTTAACCTCTTACCAGACACATAATTTGCAAATATTTTCTCTAAAGTAAGTTGTCTTTTCCTTCTGTTGAAGGTTCCCTTTGCTGTGCAGAAAGTTTTTAGTCTGATGCTTCCAACTTGTTTATTTTTGCTTTTGTTGCCTTTGCCTTCACTGACAAATGCAAAAAACTGCCAAGACCAAAGTTAAGGATTTTACCCCTGATGTTTTCTTCTCAGAGTTTTATGGTTTCAGGTCTTACGTTTAAGTTTTTAATCCATTTTGAGTTGATTTTTTTGTATAGTAGAGGCAGGGGTCTAGTTTCATTCTTTTGCACCTGGCTGTCCAGCTTTCTCAATGCCATTTATCAACGAGACTATCCTTTCCCCATTGTATATTTTTGGCACTTTTGTTGAAAATTAATTTACTACATATATGTGGGTTTACTTCTGTGTTCTCAATTTCTTTTCCATGGATCTGTGTGTTTTTATGCTAATATCATACTCTTTTGATTACTAAATCAGCTTTGTAATATAGTTTGAAATCAGGAAATGTGATGCCTCCAGCTGTGTTCTTCTCAGGGTTGCTTTGGCTAGTTGGCGTCTTTTGTTGTTTCATACAAATTTTAGGATTTTTTTCTATTTCTGTGAAAGACGCCAATAGAATTTTGACAGAGATTGCATTGAATCTGTAGATCAATTTGGGTAATATAGACGTTATAACAATATTAATTCTTCCAATCCATAAACACTATAACTCTTCCGTTCTGAAAACTGTCAGTAAAACCAGCAGCAAAGACGAAGAGATTGAGGTCAAAGCAAGGAGTAAAACCCTTCAGAAAAACTTCTCAACATTCTTCCTCATGCAGCTCACAGCCCCAGATAGTTGGTACTATTCTGTGAAATCTATATAATTATTACTAGTCCAAATGTTCCAAGCTCTTAGTATGAAAGCTAAATAGTCTTGGAAGACTACTTTTAAAAGTTTCCTTTAAATAAAAAGGAATTTTAGTACCATCATGAGAAAAATTTACCTAATTACCAAATTTTGCCAAAATATTTGGTTTATTCTGTTAAAGGGCTATGATAGACACTGAAAGTGGGAGTTGCCTTTCATTTTTCCTACCCACTGTTAAGGATTTTGATAACAGTACCCTAATTTTGCAGGTAAGCAAGAAACTCTTAAATCTCTTTAAAATTCCGTTTCCTACCACTTGCTTTGCAGATAGATGTGTGGTCATATGACTACATTCCAGCTAAGGACACATAAGCAGAAAAGGTTATGCGGCCTGAACATCAAGAAGACTCCTTAAAAGAACAAGAGATAGGTGGTATGAATCCTTTCTATCGTTTTGCCTTCCTCCTGCTTCCTACCTGGAACATTAAAACATGATGGCTGGAGTATGAGCAGTCATATGGACCATGAGAAAGAGGATGAAAGTCATGTGTCAGGGATAACAGAGTAGAACAATAAAAGAGTCTAGGCCCCTGATGACAAATAAACTCCTTATCAGTCCTGTTCAGTTTACCTCTAGATTGCTTAAATGTGAAAGAAAACTATATTCTTTAAGCCATATTCTTTAAGCCACAGCCAAACACAATTAACATCTAATATAAATATGAATAAATCAAATTTTCCCCACAGCTGCTTCTGCAAAAAAAAAAAAATAAGTAAACATTTAGCTCCTAGATTTCCCATCTACAAAAACTTTTTACATGCATGCCTTGTTTTTAAAAGATTTCTGTATATGGGAACTTAGCACAGAGGATTTGAAGAAGAATAGTAATATTTTCCTCTTACATTATAAAATCATAAACTTATTACTACTGACAGGAGTATTTTTTCATACTTTTTAAATTAAAATGATCTTTTAAAAATCATTTGGGGTAGAAAAGCTATAAAAGAAAGCAATATTTGAAACAAAGTACAAAATGTTAACTATGAAAACATAAAATATCATTTCTGAGGCTTGTATCATAAGAATTTGAGAGGAAGCTCTGTTACAAAGTTCTTTAACTATAAATTTTAGAATCATCAACAAAAGTAAAAGGTAACCTACTAAATGAGAGAAAATATTTGCAAGTCACATATCTGATAAGAGGTTAAAATCCAAAATATATAAAGAACTCATACAACTCAACAGCAAAAATAAAAAAAAATGATTAAAAAATAGGCAGAGACACTGAAAGACATTTTTCCAAAATAAACATATAGATAGCCAACAGATACATGAAAAGGTGCTCAACATCACTACTCATCATGGAAATCAAAATCACAATGAAGTGTCACCTCACACCTATTAGAAAAGCTGTTATCAAAAAGACAAGAAATAATGAATGTTGACAAGGCTGTAGAAAAAAGGGAACTGGGAACTCCTGTGCACTGCTGGTGGGAATGTAAATTGGCACAGCCACTATGGAAAACAGTACAGAGGTTCCTAAAAAAAATTTTTTAATGATCCAGCAATTTCACTTCTGGGTATTTATACAAAGGAAATGAAAACACTAATTCAAAAAAAATACATGCACTCCCATGTGCACTGCAACATTATTCACAACAGCCAAGATATGGAAAACACCTAAGTGTCCATCAGTGAATGAATGGATAAAGATGTATATACACACACACACACACATTGGAATACTAGTGTGCCCCCCAAAAGAATGAAATCTTGCCATTTGTGACAACGTGGGATGGACTTGAGGGCATTATGCTAAATGAAATGAATCAGATAGAGAAAGACAAATATCGTATGATATAACTTAATTGTGGAATCTTAAAAAATAAAAAGTTCATAGATACAGAGATCAGATTGGTGGCTAACAGAAGCAGGCAGTGAGCAAAATGACTGAAGGGGCTCAAAAGGTACAAACTTCCAATTATAAAATAAATAAGTCATGAAGATTTAATGAACAGCACAGTGACTACTGTTAATAATGCTGTACTGCATAACTGAAAATTGCTAAGGAAGTAAATCTTAGAAGTCCTCATCACAAGAAAAATAATTTTATAACTATGGATGGGGATGGATGTTAACCTGACTTACTGGGGGTATCATTTTGCATATATACAAGTATCAAATCATCATGTTGTACACCTGAAATTAATATAATGTATGTCATTAATACCTCTATAAAAAAAAGAATTTGGGTCTTTATTTGTTTCTTCTAAATAGCTAATGTATTATTCTGTAGTAACTTATTAACATTTCCTACTTAAGAATATCAGTACATTTATTCTTACGTATTACATATGCCTTATATATTCTTACTACTTCCTAATTATTCGATTCATTGTCATAATACATACACTTGTGGATTCTGTACATGGGTATGCGAGGAGTCCAACTAAAGTTACTGCAATCACATCTTCAGTCTTGGAACAAAGGCTTTTTCTTCCCAAGTTCATTTCTGAAGTGCTATTTGTATATATTTTTCTTGTTCATTCTTTTCATAATTCATTCTCTAAAGAGACTATTCTCTGTTGCTTATTATTTGTTCTTTTAGTGTTGCTACCTATTCTAAAAGGTTTTTATTTGGGAAGAGAATGAGAAAATTATCTGAGTCTCTACAAATTCCAGATATATTTACCAATCTACTCTGTCTTACTCAGATAAGAAATGATATTTAAAAAACTCTCTTAACCCCTATGCAAAACCATTTCACATGTCTGTGTGCAATATGAAAATTTTCCTTATACTTTACTTACAGTTCCTATTTTCATTCATTTTTATGTATCAAATATCTTACTGTCAAAATTCTGTCAATCCCAAGACATTACCATTGGTCCCTTAATATTACCCAACTTGAAGTCACTAAAACCATAGTATACTATATACTACTTTAAGTTTTATAAAACATTTTAAACTCCTTTTGAAGCTGCTAAAAAAGTGTTAAGTTGAAACTCATTATTAACCTTAGTTTCACATAAATTCCATATTGGAAAAAATTACAGAAAACTAGTTGCAGAAATACTTCAGAATTTTTGTTGACCCATTATTTTATACTCAAAATCACAGTGAAAAAGATGTCATAAGACAATGATAGCTTACCTTGAAATGGGATCTTAATATATTTTGTCGTGAACTAAAGGAAAAAAACAAAACAAAACAACAACAAAAAAAGAGTTACCATTCAAAATGTGTTACTATTCAAATTTTTCAAATTTTTTTTTCTTTTCTAAACTACAGGTACACAATCAAAGCCTACACTAAAAGTACTCAAGTCTTTTTCTCAATTAACCAAAAGGATGTTTCACTGTAAAGACTTAGTTTTATGCAAGTTTAAGAAACTTGTACAAGTAACTTAATTCCCAATATTCTCATTTATAAAAAACAGTGAGTCTTTACTTAATATATTTTTTCAAAAATATTTCCTGAAAATTTAAAGGAGAAATAAGACAAAGTCCAGAAGAAACTGCCCAAAGACCTGACAGGGTGTCAATGACTTTGGTAAACAAACCACAAAACAGGGTTTGATTCTTGGCTTTGCTGACATTCCCAGCATTCATTTTTCTTTGCACCATGTTATAATTTCCTTCTGACTGGGGATTCAGCAAGGTTCCTGCTCTTTCTGCTCCTTCTGTGCCAGGACACTCTATTTCCTGTAGGTATCTTTTATATATATTTGACCCCCTTAAGTGTTGGTTTTATAATAAACTCTCAAGAGTTGTAGAGTTCCTAAATCTTGTAACCACCTAAAACAGGTATCCTTTGAAGTTTGTCAAATGAACTCATGCCTCTTTGTCTATTATTTGGTTAGGTTTCTCTTTTGATCAACACATTTATGAAATTGTTGACCAAATGAAGGGTACAGTCTGTGAGAACAAAACAAAATCGACAGTGGTCTTGGTAAATGGTTACCTAAATTAACTACCTAAGAGTTGCAAATAAGTAGCACACAATGTTCAGTGAAACAACAGATTTACTATGACTCCATCTTTTTTTTGCTAGTTAAAAAATTATTTCATATTGTAGTTTCACAAACGTAAAACTCACATTTCCTAGAGTAAGTCAGCCACTAAAGCAAAATCTGAGCAAAAGCGCAAATGAATTAAAAGCTGAGCATAGAGTTCAAATGCTGCCTCTATTATCTCTACCATTCAAATAGTAAGTAGATAAACTTAGGTAACTTAATGAATCTCTCAGTTTTAGATAAGACCCTTAATGAAGGGGTGCTATTATCATTAGACATTAGCATCTGATTAAGTATGTTATTTAGTTTAATTTAGTCAAATATGCCTTATCATTATGTCACTTTCACATAACTGTTATATATATTTGGTATATATTTCCCCTTGCTAAATTCTTTCTCATAGGTTTCACTGGGTCTTTAATCTCATAAAATAGCTTAGCAGTTGTAAATAACTAGTTATAGAAAACGAATATAAGGAGTGTTTGCCTTTGAGATTTTATAGTTATTAACACAAAATTATGAATTAGAAGTAGTGCATCTATTTATCCTTGGTCTCTACTTTCTACATTATTGTTTTATTCTCCCACTATAAAGATCCTTGTTCTATCAAACCTTTTGGCTTGGCAAGGATCACATACTCATTTACACCTTTTAATACTGACTAAGCCAATATGTAATCTCTTCCCAAAGCAGAGCCCTATTTGCAGCAAAAATTGAATCCACAGTTAAGAAAATTAGAAATATGTTTCTGTGGCAATGAGGTAAACCCAGTTCTCTGAAATCACACCACATCTATTTAAACTTAAGAATAAAGGTGAACACAAGAGCTGTTTTATAACTTCTTACAATAGTAGCACAGTTCTCTGAACATTATACACATTTAATAAACATTTTTCCTACTACCAACAAAAGTGAGATCTAAAAAAATGCTCATAGCTACTACAGCATTCTCTACACTAAAAAAAAAAGTAGCAATATCTTAAATGTACAACTACAAGAAAATGGCTCTAACTTACATAAAAGTTTCCCATTCCAGGTATTTTTTTAGTTCAGCTAAATTCTGTCATGACAGTGAGAACAATATTTTTCAGTATCCATAACAATACATAATGGACACTCATTAAACATATAGAAAATGACCAAGTTTAATTCTCTAATATATTTACTCCATCCAAAAGTTCTTTTATTTCCAAGTTATAGAGCATCATAAAAAATAAATACTGAAAATATTGAAAAAATGATATTAAAAGTCTTTTGGAAAACTTGAAAGCTTAAGACTTTTATCTTTTTCCCTTTTTATGTTATTCATTATATTTTTTAATTTTAAAATTGCTATGTTCTCTCCATAGTAACATAACTTTTAATTTTTTCAGAATTCCTCTCAGTCTTTCTTCAGATATGTATTTTTTTACCTATATATATTTACTTTGATTTACTAAACCAGTTTTTTATAATTAGACATTTAAGTTTTTTATTTTAATTACAGTTTAAGTGTTCCAATAGACATGAAACAAACTTTCAGGACCTACTTTAGGACATTTATTGAATATTTGCAGTCCTCTACTATTGTAATAGCAAAATACTGGGACAATGGAAATGTCCAATAGTTGGGAATTAAGGGCACCCCAAAATCCCCAAATAGTTTCATGAATTAAGTTAATTTGATTATGGTGAGTAACAAAACAGTATGCATAATGTCATATCCTTTTCTTTTAAATATTTATACATCTAATATGAAGAATACGTAAGGATATACACTGTAAAGTTAATGGCAATTGTCTCTGGATAAGCAAGATCATAGGTGTTCTTTAAATTCTTCCTTTACTCATTTGTAGTTTTTTGTTTGGCTTTGTATTTTGTCCATAACAAACCCACCTAACTGTATAATAACATAATTCATGCAAACAATAATTAATGAAAACCCACTGTTGAATATTTATATTAAATATTGCTCCCTTGGTTAATAAATTATTGTCAAATATTCAGGTTGTCCAATTTTTTGCCATTATAAACAACTGAACAGAAAAAGCTGAATTTTAAATGAAAAAGCTATGAAATGGGGCTGGGGGTGGGAACTGGAAAAAGTGAACAAAATTCCTTAAAGAAAAAACTTGTAAAATCACCCGAGGCATAACAAAATCACTGATATCTGAAAACCATGAGCAAAGAATATTAATTTTAAACAGAATTGCTGTGGTGCTTTCAATCAAAACAATTTTCACTCTACCTTCCCTCTGTATAGTCACAAAGCAAACATCTACTTTGTTACCTTAAATCATATGCTCTCTTCTCTATGAAGTCTTCCCTAATTCCTCCAGACAGATATAGGTACTCAGGCCATATGCACCCTTCTTACACATATTTCCATTGTACATTTTACCATAATACAAATATCTATTTATGTGTCTGTCTCTTCCAGTAGACTAAGGTTCCTTAAAAGAAGAGATCATGTCTTCACCATTTTTATATTCCCTGCCCTACCTATAACAGTGAAATTAATAAAACTTCTAGGAAAATACCTAAATTATAATCTGACATAGTCAATTCAATCCAACTAGTGTTTGTAAGTGCCTATTTAGGTTTGAGCCATTTACGGAAAATACAAAAGGGAATAAAAGCATGGCTCTTCATTACAAGATCCTTAAAGGCTAATGGGACATTTAGGCTAGAATACAAACAATTAAAAACACACAGAATAAATTTTACAACAGATGTAAAAAGTACACAGTAAAAGGAGAAGTTAATTCTAGCTAGGAAGGAGAAATCAGGAAAGGTTTCCTGGAAGAGGAACTTTTTCAGATAAGCCTTAAAAGATGGTTAGGGTTTTAAAACAGGCAGAAAAATAGACAGTATAGAGAACTAAGTAAAATCCAATCTGGTTTTCACATACAAAATGTGAGGAGTTAATATTGGAAAAAAAAAGTGGGGGGAAAACAGAATAGGACCTGTTTCTGGAGATCCTTAAATAACTTAGGAATTTGGAGAACATAATTTAAACCAGTAAAACGAGATTTCTTCTTTTTGCTATTAACTACAGCCTGAATAAAAATTTATGTTACCATCAAATAAGTTTTAGAGACCAATGAATATCAATACTACATAAGATTTTGTTTATACATAATCTTCATTAGAATAGTCAGATCAGAGATATTATTTTAGGGCATTCCAGTATGATTTCAAAATTCCCCTCCCCCAATTAAAGACATGTCTCAAAATAGACATAATGACATATCAAAAATGTTCTATATAAAATTAATCTCAATTCTATTTTCATTTGCACTAAAAAAGAGAAGATAATCTAAAAATGCCTTGTCCAAGAACCAGAACTAAAACAAAAAAAATTAAATATACTTACTGTAACACAACCTTTAGAAGCTCCTTTTATTTTACCAATATAAACAGAAGTAAATGTAAAATCCAGCTGTAGATCCAACTCATTACTAGGTGTAACACAGGGAATGTTTTCCGTGACAGGATTATATGGACGTAATTCAGATGAAGCCTAACAAGGAACAAATTATAAAATGCATATAAGCCTAAGTGCTGTATAAATACTGACAATGATTCCAAAGTCAAATACTTCTTTAAATTACTATTAATGAGTTTGTGAAGGATTTTACACTGTTCTTACTGTGAAGAAAGAGTTAACTAGATTTTTTTCTTAAAAAGTATATGAATTACCTTGAGAAAAATTACTGTAAATAGTTGAATCCAAAATTAATTCCATAGGCCTAAGTTCCAGAAATATATCCTCCTCTCTATCAAAGCCATGATTTCAAATTGTTTCCCCAAACAGACTTTATTTTTAACTCAACAGAAATAAATTAGGATTCATACACTGTTTAGTTTAAATGAGTTTTTAAATATATTATCTCTTTTAATCACCAAAACCATCTCATGGGGCAGTTTTCTTCCCCATTTCATAAGTAAAGTTAATAGATGTTTGAATTGGTTAAGTGGGTTGCCAAACATAATGCAATTAGTAAGAAGCAAAACTAAGACAAATCCAGGTTTCCATCTCCAGGTTAAGGGTTATAAGCACATAAAATTGCTTCCATAACCCAAGATGATGCTTTATATTAATGCTAATGGCATTAATAGCATGTGAGGAAAAGGAATAATTCCAACTAGGCATTGTATTGCAAGACCAGACAAATACTGGAAACTGTTTACCTCTAGAAAATCTTTTGATAAAGTACTTATATGTCCAATGAGAACCATAAAAGAATAAATATCTAAGTTTTAGAATATTTAGACTGAAAAAATATAAACGACCAGAAAAAAAAATGGTATAAGTTTTTCACTTCAAAATAAAGACAATTACGTATTTTCCTCACACTAATATGAAAGTTGTCTCAAAATTCAAACTAAGAAAATCTGTAATTTTTATTACAATATTCTGCTTGATGAAATAAAAAAGTCATTAGCCCACAGTGTATATTTCACTGTTAATCTGTGAGAAGGCAGGAATTAATTACCTGTACAGATTCACATGTAATCAATGGTACTTCTGACACTGCTGGCTCAGAAGTACTCCTGCTTTCATTAGTGACAGCATGATCTTGCTTAGGTTGTAATTTAAGAATTTCTGAACTTTTATGCTCAACAGGTCCTTCTTCATCACTGGAGACGACAACTAAAAAGGGAAAATGTATTTTTTAAATGTGTCACAGTAATCATGTATCAAAAAGAGAAGTTTCTAATTCATACAATCTTTCAAAACCCCATTGAATCTAATCATCTAACTAAATTCAATTTAGAAACTAGCCTATTATTTATTACCTGATTTATACTAGTTACATTCAATGTTTCCCTATCAGTGCCATTATTTAGCAGTTATCTGCAACCTTACCTTCTGGAGGATGAAGTCATTTAAAAATGGATAAAGCCACGAGAACATAGGAACAAGTCTGAGTTCTAATAATGTGTTGTGTCATCACTGTAAATTGTACTTTAAATCCTCTTACACTATTTGCTTCCAGGAGGGGGAAACTGATGGGTAGGGAAAGATGTGGGAGACTATTCACTGGATATCCTTTAGAACATTTTTGTACCATGTGACTACATCAAACACTTGAAATTTAACATCAAAATTAATTAATTAAATCAAAAGTATTGACAATAAATAAATAGCACTTAAACCCTCTGTACTTCAGCTTAATCAACCAAAATGACAAAATGGTCCTTACAGACTCTTATTAAAAACTACTAAGGAGATGAATTACAGGATACTAATCTAAAAAAATAAATACTTCTGCTTCCAAGTACTCCATGTTTACCTAAAATCAATATTACAAATTCATGAAGGAAGTCCCAAAACCCCAAGTCTTTTTTTTATAAAGTTAATATATTCCACAATGATATCGTAAGTTAACATTACCTTAGCAAAATTTGTTTGAGAGGAGAAATAAAACAACTAAGTAAAGCAGAGAATGTCAAGAGTCTTTATAATCCTTATGTTACTTACTTGGTTCACCTGAGATAAACGATTGGTTCCCTTCACTGTGTTCACTCAAAACAGGTTTTTCTATTGTGTTCAATTCATTCTCATCCTTCTCAGCCAAGGTAGAATTCCCCACAGTATCAGTGGAAATAGAACTCACAAAAGTTTCAGTGGTTGAACAGTCAGAGGTGATTTTGGGAGCAGTGCTCAAAGCCAACTCCTGACTACGAAATGAGGCTAGTTTAGTAAAATCACTTTCTATAGGTTCAAGTGTAATTTCTTCAAGTAGTTTTGGGTCTTCATGATAGTTTTCACTTGACTTCTCAAATTCAGTGGATACTGTTGGGTCATTTTCTTGTTCTTTCTGAACATAAATAAATGCACATAAAAATTAGCATTTTTCAAATTTGGCTAACAAAGAATTTTTTAAAGTTTAAATTCCTAAAGAAGAAATAAAAGTAAAAATATTATATAATTTCTATAACTACAGGGATAGAAAATTGCACAATTATTTTACTCTTGCCAGTGCCTCTCAAGTATAATGCAGATACAGAGTTTGGTCTGTTCAACTGGATGCCTCAATGTTTAACTTTTTGAAAGGATGAGAAGGGGAAATTCCCATAATTACAAGTGGTTCAGATGGTCACCCAAAATCTAAGTCAACTTTAAGTGAGAGGAATTATTTTTTATGGAAGTACTGGAGATTGAACCTGGGACCTTAGCAGTGCTAAGCAGGCGCTCTACCACTGAGCTATACCCTCCCCTGAGAATTTTTTTAGTTTTATTTTGCAAAAGTTAAGAGGCTACTTGACATCATGTGATTTTAGTAACAAAAGCCAAAAAATTATAAACTTAAGAGGATAATGATATGAAAAATTATGAAAATCACTGCCTTCACGTCTCTATTACTGTATTAAATCTAAACCATGTTTATAATTATAACTCAAAGGCACTGCAAAGTCCTGAAATGCCATGTGAATCAAAGGAATCAAAAAGCTGTCTCCAAAAAAAAAAGCTGTCTCCTTATAGTTTTATCACTAACTGCATACTAAGTCTTTGAAAATAGATAATGTATGCATTAAGTAGGGTAATTCTCTATGTATAACAAACTCCCTAAACTCTTCATAAAAAGAAGTTTAAGGAAACTGGAAGTAAATTACTACTGAAAAAGGAAATCTGACAATAATTTCACAGAGCAAGTGAAAAAACAATTGGCTGAACAGTATAAATAGTATTTGGTCAAAATAAGGAGGGGAAAAGAAAACAGGTCTGAAGGATATAAATCAAACTACTAAGTAAGGAGTGATATTAGAGAAGAGGTAATTTTAACTTTTTTACTTCTTCATAACACAGTCAGCCCTCTGCATGCACAGGTTCCACCAACTGCAAATGGAAAATATTCAGGAAAATAATTCCAGAAAGTTCCAAAGGGCAAAACTTGAATTTGCTGGGCACAGGCAACTATTTATATAGCATTTACACTGCATTTACAGCTATTTACTTAGTATTTACATTGTATTAGGTATTATGAGCAATCTGGAGATGATTTAAAATATAAAGGAGGATGTAGATTATGTTCAAATACTACACCATTTTATATAAGAGATTTAATCATCTGCAGATTTTGGTATGTGCAGGGTCCTGGAACCAATACTCTGCAGATACTGAGCAATGACTGTATTTGAAATTTGTTCACATAACTGTATTAATGCAAAAAGTTGCATTTAAAGTATTTTTTTAAAAACAGAATCAAAAACTAGGCAAGGAAAAGAAAGAAATCTGATGACAGAAGCAGAAAACCAGGAGAACATTATTTAGTCACAGTCAATTCATTTTTATCATAGTACAAATTATTTCATATCACATCTAAAAACCTCTACTTACTGTCTGTTCTGTTGACTTATACAAAGAAGCAGAATTATGAGAATCAGGTAAATTACTTCTAAGCCTTTTCTTTCTCTTCCTGGAATTCAGGGTGGGTTCCATTTTTGAATCAGAATATGCATCATCCTTGTTTCTGCTCCCCTCTTCAAGATGATCACAACCTTGACTTCTACTATTGTGATCTTAAAAAATGAAAGAGACATAAATATGGCCAAAAGTACAGAAAGAATCCCTTTTAGAAGAGCTCAAAGAAACATCATCAAAATTGCTGTACTACTTTTCAAAGCTATTTTTTTAAGTTCACTGTTAAATTCTCATACTGACATGGATGAATATAAGGACATATCCTATTTTAAACTGCATACACAAAGTAAATGTTCACCATACAATAAATATGATATGAGGAAAATACATTAAAAGGTCATATTCTTTAGTAACAAAAGCAACCAAACCATGTTTTTTTCCTTCTGCTATAACTGTAAATGTCTATAATAAAAAAAAGTCTTCATAAAATTTTGAAAATTAGTCTTAAAATATCTTTTAAATTCATTGTAATTTTAGAAATTGAACTAATATAGAGATTACAACTAATTCAGCAATTAGTTATATTTCTAAACGTAAATTTATATATACATATTTTTAAATGAAATGGGACAATTGTCTGAGAGTATTGATCACTACTCTTTCAAAAGGAGCCAAAACCTTTCCTCAGCAGCTGAGGAAACCAAGTCAATTATTATCAAACATGCTTAGTATTTCAGTTATCAAATATAGGTACTGTACAAAAATATCTTCCAAAAGGTTCTACCTAACTAACTGAAGGTTACCCTGAATTATTTTGCTTTCTGACTCTGTATCATACAAGTACCAGCTCAGGGTTCACACAACGCAAGACACAAAGCAGCTTCCTTGAATTCATAACTTAAAATTCACACAACACTAAACTGGCCTGACTTCCCCATTCACTTGAAGTTTTACAACACTACATATCTTCTCTTCAAACTATTCTTGTTCTTACTCTAGCTTTATAAACACCTAATAACTAACATTCATAATATCTCTTTGTCATTGCTTGAAAGGCAGGTATGGGGGACAGGGGTGAGAGCAAAAACTCCAAGACCGTCAACAGTATTTCAATTTCCAAAGAAAACACCTCTTTCTCGCTCCCCCAGGAAAACAAACTTCCCCCAAACTATCAACACAGCATTCTGAAAAGTACAATAAATTTTATTCATAATTTTGTAAACTGTAAAGATAGTCAAACACAATTTCTACATATAAACATACATATTTATATATATATATGTAAAAACATATATATTTATATATACATATACTGTATCAAATTATAATTTCTAAACATAAATACTATAGCAAAAGTATGATGAAAGAAATGGGGCTTGAAAAAATTCTATTATATGGGAGTTTTCCTTCAAACAGTTTACTATTTTCATATCAGCCAAGACTATCTCATAGGATACAGGAATAAATGTATTACATGAAGCTAAACATTGTAAAAACAGGATTCTGCTTGGTAACAAATACCATTTAACTTGCAAATATTACTAGCATATAAAATTAAAGAGGTGACAAATTCCTGTAAACAAAAGAATGTTAAATATTTACAATGTATTATATTCATAAAAGCAAATTCCACAAGGCAAATTTAATGTACTATGAAAGTATATCTAGTGTGGGGAATATAGTCAATAACTATGTAATATCTTTGTATGGTGACAGATCATAACTAGACCATAGTGATCATTCTGAAATGTACAGAAATACTGAACCACTATGTTGTATAACAGGAATTAACATAATGTTGTTGGTCAATTATAATTCAGAAACAAACAAACTCATGGAAAAAGAGATCAGTTGTGGTTATCAGAGGTGGGGAGAAGGGAACTGAATGAAGGCAGTCAACAGGAACAAACTTCCAGCTATAAGATAAGTTCTAGGGATGTAATGTACAACATGATAAATATAATCAACAGTGCTGGATGTTTTGCATGAAAGTAGTTAGGAGAATAAATCTTACAAGTTTTCATCACAATGAAAAGTTTTTTCTACTTCTTTAATTTTGTATCTGTATGAGAAAACAGATGTTCACTGAATTTCATAATGTATGGAAGTCATTATGCTATACCCCTTAAATGTATACAGTGCTGTATGTCAACTGTATCTCAACAAAACTGGAACAAAAATTTTAATGGTATACCTGGAGTTTAATTCAGAAGTCCTATTAATTTATGGACTTACATTAAATAACTGGTATTAGACACAATTATCTACAGGATGAAAATATGGTGAGTTTCAACAAAGTTTCAATAGCTAATTTTCTTAAAAACACTGCACGTAAGAGGAGAAACTTCAGGGATACTAAGAAACTATAAGGTATTTCTTTTATCATGCATTTTTCTACCTGCTGTTAAGTCTAAAATTCCACTCTAACTTTGGAGGAATACTGAAGGGCACAAATTAGAAAGCTTTTTATTTTACTATGCCTACTCTACCCAGGAAAGCAATGAAGGCTTAACAGTGTCTTGATAGTATCTGAACTGAGCCCACAATACTTATATTTTTATAATGTAACTAAAAATAATTATTTCTCAGAAAAAGATAATGTCAGAAAATAAATTGCCTTTCATCATGTGCAGGTGGTATTCTGTGACTAACTGAAAGATTATGTCTGCAGAGTCATGATATGTTCTCTAGAGATTGCCCTCTATAAGAGCTGCAGCTCCTTTCTTGTATACATCAAAGATGTTAGTCTAGTTTCCTTTTAAGTCTTCCTCTTCTATGAAAAAAGCTACTTAAAATTTGTAAATAGCTGTGTTCCAAATGAAGTAAAAAGATTTTTTTGCATAATATCATTAAAGGAAAGACCGTGTCTTCTTGTGAATAATCTGTAAAATCATTCAGAAAACAAAATATCTCAACTAATTTGAAGCTATCAATAATCCAAGAGACCTTGAAGATGTTTCACATCTGACTAATGTAGTAATTTGTTTTGGTGCAAATTTTTATAGATTATTTCAAAATCTTTTTAAAAAGCGACAAAACAGACAAAAGAAGTCAATTCATTAACCCTACAGGCAAGGAGGCCTTACAATGAATTTTCCTAAGTCTGAAGTGTATTTACCTTTAAATTTGCTAATAGTGGCTTATACTGGCATCCTCCTAGAGTTGAGAGAAATTCTATTGAATAAAGAATGTTATTTCATGGTAGGAGGATAGCCAGTGGGAAACTAATAATAATAACTGAGATGGCAGCAATATCAATTACTACATATATCCATGGAAACACTTAGAAACAGCTAAACTTAACATAAATTTATAGCTATATGCTCCCCCCAAAAGAAATATTTCAATTTAACTTTTGGATTTAGTAAACAAATCAAGACATGTATACTACAGTATACAAAGAGTAAATGTAGTAATTTTCTTTGTGTTGCTAAGTAATGTCCCTTTACTTTCATGTATCCTTTAAATGTAAGACTAAAGTTATTTATACCTTTAAAATTATTAAAAATGCAGTAGACAAAAATTCAACTGACAACAGTTTTCTAAGGTTCACAAACCTTTAGGCTGAGTATCAGACATTACAAGAGAAATGCCATCATCATCTGTTTGCTTTTCTTTGGTGTATGCAGCCTGCTTTGCATAATTGTTGTCTACTGTCTTACTTGGTTGTGAACTCCTGAAAAACAAAATATTATTATACTCAATTCTTCTAAATACAAATTAATTTAGAAGCCAGCTGGCATATATTTGAGATAAAAATAACAGGTTACAAAAAAATCATATAGCATAGTATATAATCTGAACAGTAGAACAATATTAAACTAAGATTTGAGAAATAAGTTCTACCTTTAAATTCTCCATGTTTCTTTGGAAGAAAAAAAGAAGATACCCACATCACAGAATTGGACACATGCAAAATGAGCAAAGAATAATACAAGAATTAAATACATCAAAGAAATCTAAAAAGTACAAATTCCATGAACACAAGTACATGATAATAACACTTACGTGTAATCAAAAAATAAATCAAAGGTAATTGCTAATATGTTTCAAGCATGATTCTCATATCAAAAGTTATATACAAAATAAAGTTTGCAGTGTGCTAACAAATTTTACTTATAGATAAAATAATTTAACATATAAGCTATTGGTTAAATACATAAACTTTAATAACATTGTGTGAAAAACAAGTTTTGGATTATGAGTATAGTATCACTATTAATGAAAACATAATACAATAATAGTATGGGACTTCAATACCTCACTCCACTTTCACTGATTGTTAGATCATCCATGCAAAAAAATCAAGAAGAAACACTGGATTAGACCATAAATTTGACCAAATAGACCTGACATGCATTTATAAAACATGGCATCCAATAGCACCAAAATATACATTCTTCTCAAGTGCACACAGAACATTCTCCAGGATAAATCATATGACAGGCCACAAAGCAAGTTTTAGAAAATTTATGACTGAAATCTGTGAAATATCTTTCTTAACCACAATTGTATAAAACTAGAAATCAATAACAGGAAAAAAGCTGGAAAATTCACAAATACATGGAGATTAAACAGTATGTTCCTGAACAACCAATGGGCCAAAGAAGAAATCAAAAAGATCAAGAAGCATCTTGAAATAAATGAAAATGTAAGCACAACATACCAAAATCTATGAAATGTTCTAAGAGGGAAGTTAATAGCAATAAACACCTATATTAAGGAACAAGAAAGAACTCAAAAAAAAAAAAAACCTCTCACTTGCTACCCCTTGGAACTAGAAAAAGAACAAATTAAGCCCAAAGTTAGAAGAAAGGTCAGAGCAGAAATAAATAAAACAGAGCCAAGGAAAAAACAACAGAAAAGATCGACAAAACTAACAGCTAGTTTTTTGAAAACATAAAAAAAAATTGACAAACCTTTAGCTAGAAGAACTAGGAAAAAAGATTCAAATAAATAAAAATAGATCATCAAGAGACTACTATGAATAATTACATGCCAACACTATGCATAACCTAAGAGATGGTTTTCTGGGGAAAAATAAACTGTTAGCTAGACTAATGGGAAAAAAGAGAAGAAAAAGAGAGAAGACTCAAGTAAATTAAATCATTACAACTGAGAGCACAGAAATACAATATATCATAAGAGACCACTACAAACAATCATATATCAAAAAATTGTATAACCTAGAAGAAATGGACAAATAACTAGAAACATTCAACTTACCAAACTGAATCATGGAAAAAAAAATCTGAACAGACCAATAACAAAAAAGGAGATTGGATGAGTAATCAAAAACCTCATAATACAGAAAAAGCCAGGACCAAATGGTTTCAGTGGTAATTCTACCAAACAATTAGAGAATTAATCCTAATCCTTCTTAAAAGTCTTCCAAAAAATTTAAGAGGAGGGGACATTCCTAAACTCATTTTACAAGGAAATCATTACTCTAGTTCCAAAGCCGGATAAGGACACAACAGGAAAAGTAAACTATAGACCAAATATCCTTAATACATAAAGATGCAAAAATTCCCACCAAAGTTTTAGGAAACCAAATTCCACAATTCATTAAAAGGATCATACACCATGATCAAGTGGGACTTATTCCAAAGAGGCAAGAATGGTACAACATCCAGTGTAATAAACCACATCAATAAAATGAAAGATAAAAATCAATCTGATCACTAATAGATGCACAGAAAAAGCATCTGAAAAAAAATCACTATCCTTTAATGATAAAACCCTCAAAAACCTGTGTATAAACAACACACCTCAACATAATAAAGGCCAATATAACAAACCCACAGCTAACACCACATTTCACTGTGAAAGATTAAAAGCTTCTACTCTAAGATAAGGAACAAGACAAGGATGCCCACTGCCATCACTCCTTATTCAACACAGTACAGCAAATCAAATCCTGGCTAGACAAATTAGACAAGAAAAAGAAATAAAAGGCATCCAAATTGAGAAAAAAAAGAAAAAGAATTAAAACTGTCATTATTTTCAGATGATATGATCTTACAGAAAGAAAACCCTAAAAAAATCCAATAAAACCTTTAAGAACTAATAAATGAATTCACTAAAGTTGCAGGATTAAAAATCAGTTGTGTTTCTATACACTAACTAAGAACTATCTGAAAGAGAAATTAAGAAAACAACCCCATTTACAACTGCAGCAAAAAGAACAAAATACCTGAGTAAATATAACCTAGAAGGAGAAAGATCTGTACACTTAAAACTATAAGACACTGAAGAAAGAAATTGAAGAAGACATAAATAAATGGAAAGATATTCTGTACTCAGATTGGAAAAATTAACATCGTTAAAATGTTCATTCTACCCAAAGCAACCGACAGATTCAATGCAATCCCTATCAATATTCCAATGGCCTTTTTCACAGAAACAGAACAAAAATCTTAAAATTTGTGTGGAACTACTAAAGACCCCAAATAGCCAAAGAAATCTTGAGAAAGAAAAATAAAGCCAAAAGCATCACACTTCATGATTTCAAATTATATTACAAACCTACAGTAATCAAAACAGAATAGTATCAGCATAAAAACAGACACATATATCAATGAAACAGAAAAGAGAGCCAAAAATAAATCCATTCATATATGGTCAATTCATTTATGACAAAGGAGCCAAGAATACACAATAGGAAAAGAACAGTCTCTTCAATACCTGACACTGGGAAAACTGAACAGCCACATGCAAAAGAATGAAACTGGACCAATATCTTACACCATATACAAAAATCAACACAAAATGGACTAAAGACTTGAATGTATGACCTGAAAACATAAAAATCCTAGAAGCAAACATGAGAGTAAGCTCCTTAACATTGGTCTTGGTAATGATTTTTTGTATTAAACACTAAAACGAAGGCAACAAAAGAAATTAAACAGATGGGACTATATCAAACCAAAAAACTGCACAGCAAAGGAAACCATCAACAAAATGAAAAGGCAACCTACAGAACAGAAGGAAATATTTGTAAATCATATATCTGATAAGGGAGTTAACATACAAAATATATAAAGAACTCATACAACTCAACAGAAAAAAATAAAACAAACTGATTTAAAAATGGGCAGAGAAACTGAATCAAAGTTTTTTCCAAAGAAGATTACAAATGACCAACAGGTACATGAAAAGGAGCCCTACACCCACTAATCATCAGAGAAAAGTATATCAAAAACCACAATTAGGTATAACCTCATACCTTCAGAATGGCTGTTACAAAAGACAAGAAATAAGTGTTGGTAAGATTGTGGAGAAAAGGTAACCCTTGTGCAATGCTGGTGGGAATGTAAATTAGTGCAGCCACTATGGAAAATAGAATGTAAGCTCCTCAAAAACTTAAAAATAGAACTAACATATGATCCAGCAATTCCACTTCTGGGTATTTATCTTTAGGAAATGAAATTACTATCTCAAAAAGATACATGCAGCCCCATGTTCACTGCAGCATTATTTGCAATAGCTAAGACATGGAAACAAGCCTAAGTATTCATCAACAGAAGAACAGATAAAGAAATCAATTTCTCTCTACCTCTCCCCCCCCCCTCTCTTTCACACACACACATACACACATACACACAATGGAGCATCTTTACTCATAAAAAAGGAAAGAAATCCTGCCATTTGTGACAATATGAATGAACCTTGAGGATAATACATTAAATAAAATAAGACAGACAAACACAAATAGTGTATCATCTCACTTACATGTGGAATCTAAATTTTAAAACAAACACCTAGATACTGACATCAGACTGGTAGCTGCCATAGCCAGGTGCATGAAATGAGTGAAGTGGTAAAAAGGTATAAGTTTCTAGTCATAAAAGAAATAAGTCAGGAATGTAAGGTACAGCATGATGACTATAGATAACAATAGTGTACTGTATATTTAAAAGTTGCTAAGACAGTAGATCTTAAAATTTCTCATCACAAGAAAAAAAATTTTAACTATGTGTGGTAATGAATGCTAACTAAACTTACTGTGTTAATAATTTTGCAATATACACATATATGAGATATTATGGTGTATACTTAAACCTAATGCAAAGTTCTGTCAATAATATATCAATAAAATTAATTAATTAATTTAAAAAATTGATACACAATTGGGAAAGCAATTTGGTACTAATTAGAATAGTCATAAAATGAATTAAATCTTTACCAACAATATTCTCACCCTTTATAACTATTATTACTGAAACAACTCATTATGGTATTATTTAAGTGGGTAAGAATTTTAAAATAAAAACTATATACATTATTAACCTTCAGAATTCTTTTATAATAGAATATATTATACAGTAATTACTACATTCTCAAAACTACTTAACAAGATAGAAATTCTTACATTCATAAATGTATTAAAAATCAGATACCAAGAGATAAACAAGATTATCCTGTATAGAACAGGGAAACACACACAAGATCTTGTGGTAGCTCACAGTGAAAAAGAATGTGACAATGAATATATGTACGTTCATGTATAACTGAAAAACTGTGCTCTACACTGGAAATTGATACAACATTGTAAACTGACTATAACTCAGTAAAAAAAAATGTAAAACAAACAAATAAACAAATCAGATACCACAAATAAATCAAGGATCCCTGAACAACAAACTATAAAATATATAACAAGTGACCTCAGGA